GTATGTGTGTGCATGTGAGTGTGTATACAGGGAGAGGAAGTACTGCCTTGTCCTACCTATGCTAGTCTCTGTATAAAGAAATAACTACCATGTAATATTCTTGTAGGAATGTTTTTGGTATAATGTGGCACAAGTTAATGAAATGTTTTCTTTGTTTTGTATTAAAGTTTGCTTATTGTTGATTTCCAAAAAATTGACCTTTAATATTATAAAGGATCACTGTGGTGAGTCAGACACTCTCGGTGCTATTGAAGGGAGTACAAACTTGCTAAAAATCTTTTTCGGAAATAGTTTGCAAATGTGTAAGAAGAGCATTAATATCTTCTTGTCTTTTCACTATGCAACTTGAATTTATCTAGGAGAAATAAACAATAATGTAGGCAAATATATATTCATCATACCATAATTGGTAACAAAATGCTAAAAATTTAAATTATATATGAAGAAAGAAATGCTTGTCTTGTTATGGTACATCTGCAGTATATCTATCACATAAATAATTAAATTTTTGTACTTAAGGAGTTTTGTACAGATGAAAGCCTATCTGATCCATGCATAGTGAATCCAGAGAATAAGTACCAATGGCTTTTAAGAGAGATGGTTTGTAAGAAATGATTTTCACTAAGTAAACAGAAAGCAAGGACATGCTATTTTAAGATCAGGACACAACTACTTAAAATGTTGCCTGATATCCCTTGTATAAGGGTCTCTCAATTACTTGTTAATTGTGTAGCTATCCTGGGCTAGTGGTATAATTTGGTGGTAGTGGTGATTAACCTGTAAGAGGTGCTGCATTTGATCTCCAGCACAAGAAAAGAAAAATGAAAAGAAAAAGGAAAACAAATGAAAAGAATAACAAAAATGTAATCTAAGTCAGAATCTGAGTATGGGTCTGGGTTGTTTGTAGTTTAAAAGATAAACCCACATAATCGCTTGAGGATCTCCAAGAACCACCAGCTGAAGAAAAAATTTTCAAAGCATCTTGTCTGCTCCAATGTTTATTAAGCAGAGCTAAAGCATTTCAAAATCCTCATAAGTGGGGAGTACTTTGTTTCCTAGATAAATCAGAATTGGAGGATGGGGACCACCCCTGGCTCTCTTTTAATCTTATTCAAGAGATTTAGATCTGCGATTCTCTAAAGGAGCCAACACTGTAGGTAACAGTGCTGGGAAGAGTGGCAGGGTGACGTTACAGGTAACCTGTCACCTTGAAAACAGACCACTTTGTCCTATCTCTTTTGAGATATCCTTTAGATTAGATGCTGATTATACACAGTGGAGGTCACTATTCCAATGACCTCCATGGAGAGCGGTGATACCTCGAGCGTGCGCACTAGAGACATTCACCCATAACTCTGTGCTGTAGTCTAAGTGTTGGCTCTTAAGCAAGACAGGTGCTGGTATCTGGAGGAGGGGAGGCCTTTGGGAGGTCATGAGGTCATAGCTTTATGAATGGAATTAGCGCCTTATAGAAGAGACCCAAGTGAGCTGCCTTGCCTAATTTACTACTCAAAGCCACAGTGAGAAACATCAACAGATTCTCAAAAGACATTTGAGTTTGGTGGCACTTGGTTTGTGGATTTCCCAGCCTCCAGAACAATACATTTCTATTGTTTATAAACTATCCAGTTTATGGCATTTTACTGTAGTAGCCCTAACAACATAAGACACTAAACTGCCTGGATGAGTTGAAGTACCAAAATTCCTAGATTGTTCTTACATAAACTGGAGATACTACAGTACTGGAACCAGACTAATTAACAGTGAGAATTTGTATACAATGTGGTTAGCACAAGACATGTTATGAAGTAAATCCTTCGAAGTGTTTGTAGTGATGACTTCCAAAAGCTTGACTATGTAAGGTGGATGGCTAGACTTTTCTAGTTGACCTCAAAGACCATGTTAGTTATCAGATAAGCCCAGGATTTAGAGTAATTACAAATTCTTGGTATGGTTGGGATGGTGGGAAAGCTGGAGGGTGGCATATGGTGGAACCAGGTATACTGATAGTCCTTCATCTGAATTAAGATTTTTTTTTATAATTGTTTGTTTCATGGGCCATCTAAATCCAGAATCATTTATTAAAATCTACCCTTTCAGAATTGGTCTAGGCCAGATGTTGTGGTGCAACTGTAATCCCTGAGGAGCCCTGAGGAGCCTGAGGTGGGAGGATTGCTATGAGTTCAAGGCCAGTTTGGGTACAAAGTGAGTTCAAGGCCAGTCACAACTGCATAGTGAAATCTTATCTCAAAAAGACAAAGGACAAACAAGCAAATCCTGGAATTGGTCTAGGACTGAATTAAAGTATGTGAAAATTCACACACACACACACACACACACACACACACAAAGAGAGAGAGAGAAAGAGAGAGAGAGACAGAGAAAGAGAGACAGAGAAAGAGAAAGAGAGAGAGACAGAGAGAAATACATGATCTTGATCTTTACCATATACATAATGTTTCCAGAATGCTACATATTGCAAAATTATTTTAGATTCTAATCAATTTCTCTGCCTTTATGACCATCAACACTATGAAATGTAGATTTACTCTATTGTTTTATACCATATTAGTATGCATTGAGTAAAGTTACTTCTTATACTTTTTCCTGTGTAAACTCAAATGGAACTAGTAATAAACATCTTTAGAGCCTGTTCAACTTTAAGAAAAGATCTGTCCCTTGGAAACAACCATACCAGGTCAAGACAATTGCCAGGAGAAATCCTTTATATTATCCAGTTACACAACACACTCCTTGAGTAAATGACGTATCCTAACTTAGGATACATCACCAGATTTAAGTCAGAGAGAATCCTCTGCCAGTCAATCAGAGTGCGGGTCACCGGAAGATCCCTTCGTAGAATTTTTTTCAGGACTTCACTGGACAACTCCTGTAATTCTTCAAGGACGGCAGTTTGAAATTTATTTTCTTGCTCTTCCACAAGCCTTGCAAAACTTAGAGCCAGTTGAGCTTGGTTAACGACTTCTAAACTTTCTTTCACGTCCTTGGAGATCTCAATATGAAGGTTGACACACCGGAAGAAGTGAGCTTGCACAAAAATCCTCCCTGTTACTAGGGTTAGAAATGGATTCACTTGGAAAATCCATTTAGATTTCCAAAGACCATTCCAGCATTCTCCTGTTTCATATTTGTGATCTTCGATGCATGCTATCAAGAATTCCTTATTTTTGATAGTTTTTCTCAGCACATTGCAGTTTCCAGCTGGAAAGTGATCATTCACGTACAGTTTTAAGGCACACAGGACAACAGCTCTCAGATATTCTGTCTCATTTCGAATAATACCGTGACTCTTGATGTCTTTCAACTGATTTTGAAGTAGGTCAAATTTGAAAGAAAGTTTGCTTTGATGGTCAAAAAATCGGTAGTCACCCATTACATTGTGGTGAGACAGGAGTACCGGATTCCCATCGATGCAGAGTGGTACACAATATTTCTGGCAGTGCTGGTGGCCTGCACACTCACCTTGATGGTGCATAAGTTTTTCATCACGGATAAGCAGACAGAGGTCATCAAAGGCATTGACAAATTCCCCAGGTGGAGCTTGTATTAACAGTCTGTGAATGACTCTTTCTTTTTCTTTTCGACTCAGGACACTAAGTGCCATGTTTGGTTACAGCAGAAGCAGAGCTTCTGAAGTAGAGTCTTCAAAAGCTGAGATAACATTCCATGAGAGACGCTTTCCATCAAGGTGTTAATCATTCAAGTTTAAGATTACTGTGCCCAACCATGAAAACAGGTGGCCCAGCAAGCTCTGAGTCTCCCAGTGAAGTCACAAAGAAAGCCTCTATGTGAAGTGTGGAAACTTTGATGATGTCACAATGAGTGTTCAGACCCAAAGAAATGGAAAATGACAGCCACCTATCAGCATGGTGCCCAGCCAACTAGTGTGACACCAGAGTTGAAGATGATTAAGAACATAGACTCCTGACAGCTTTCTTCAAAAGTGGTGTGTCTCTGTGTGTTCTGTGGTGTTCGGGATCTAGAGAGAAGTCGCTCAGCGTTTCTATTGAGTGTTTGGGAATACATTACTCCTCCAGTCATCACAGTGGCATTGATTTGTACTCAGGCCCTTAGGGTAGCTGCCCTACCAGATGGAAGTATACTTTGATGGAGGGTTTGAGGGGTTTCAGTAAAACAGTAAAAATAAAACAAGATACAATGACAGGTCATGAAAAAGCGCCAGTCAGAAAGTAATGCTTCATTTATAAACCTAATGGGTTTGCAAAGAAACAACATAAACGGGAAGCCAAAGTTTTGGGCAGTGTCACCTTGGGCCTATTCTTTCTTGATGTTTTTGTGATACTTAAATATGAGGTAGTTTCCAAGAACCAAGGCAACAAATTATATATTCTTTGCTCTCTCCATAGAAAAGTGGTGACAGTGACAGCAGCTGATGAGTATCAAGAAATTCATTTACCATAAAAAGAGGCAGAACTAGTTATATTTGGAACTTGTGGCAACTTATATCCAGCAGAGACTTCTGAGAGAGGAGAAATGACAATATGGCATCGGCATGCTCTGAAAAGTGTGAAATGAGATATCCATTTGGAAGAGCTTTTCTATTCTCTTTTCTCCCCCTCTCTCTCCCTCCTTCCTTTCTTCCTTCCTTCCTTCTTTTTTTCCTCCTTTTATCTATCTTTTCTTCTTGGTACAGAACTGGAGATTGAACCCATGGATCCTCTACCACTAATCCACACTCCCAGAGTTTTTCTGATTGCATTCGGATACAGGTCTCGCTAAGTTGCCCAGGCTGGGCTCAAATTTGTAGGCCTCCTGACTCAGCCTCCTCAAATGCTGTTTTTATAGGCCTGTATCATGGCATTCAAATGGTTGACACTCTTTGTTATTTTTCTCATTTTCTTTGGAAGACTTTAACTTAAATGTCTTGGATATAACTATGAAATTTCAACTTTCTTCCACATCTGTCCTGAGATTTTTCTGAATTTCCTTTGATTGCTCTTTCTTTTTTCTCTAAGGACATGAGCTTTGTAACATTTAGTCATAGGCATTACATTTAAAGGTTTCTTATTCATTCTAACAAGCTAAAATCGGGTAGAACTTTGAACAATTTTTACCCATAGCTTTCACAATTTTATGTATTATCTTATTTCATCTCCATCTGAGTGTATCAAATTGGCCTAATTTATGTAGGTTATTTGTGCATGTAACTCCCCACTTGATTACTTTAGTTTTCTATTTTATACCAAATATGCACCCTTGTGACATTCTAAGCTTTTTGATATTTAAAAAGTTGCTTGTGGGGGCATTAATATAAATCATTGTTATTATTTTTTGAGACTCGGTAGCAGAAACTATGTTGAATGACACACTATGAACTTATTTTTTCCCCTTTCATAAGATTAGGTATTGATTTGCCCGTCCTCAGGGATGAGAGAAGTCACGTGAGAAGAAACTTTGAGGAATCTACCACTCAGGTTTATGCCCTCAAGACTTAAAAACACTGCGATAATATTTGAAGGAATTTCCCAAGGAATTACTTTATTTCTTAACATTAAATTTTATTCTTTTCCTGTATGCTTTAGCTTTATACTATCTTATGACTTCACTAAAGGATAGTGGTTATCTGTGTTTGTTTTAGATACTACTCATCACAGAATGATTTTGCTATTTATTTTAAACAAATATAGATTATTCTTTAAAAATTCAGGTAAACTGAAGATAAAGCATTTCTTCAAGAATTTGAATACTTGAGAACTTTCTTGATAATCTCCTTAACATTTTTGTTCTGCATACATGGTTTTTGTCGATGGTTCAAGACGAATTTAGAGGTGGAAAAATTAATGTAGAAAAAACACACAAATTACTTGAAAAATTAGATGTTCAGTGCAATTACTTTCACGTGAAACATATTTTTAAGGTGAGATGACACCCACCCTTTACTTATCCCATCTAAGAAGCACTTAATCTAAGTAAACTTTAATGACTACTTGAATTTTTTCTGTACAAAATGCATATGAGAAATTAATCTCTTAAGAATAAAATGAATTCATTATGCTAACTATGTTTATAATGAATTTGAAGAGATTTTAGGGAGGAGGTGAAGTTTGTTGCTGATTAAATTTGAAATAATACCAGGCTATTTGTTTAGCACAGCTTCCTGAATATGAAGGAATGCTCATGTCTGAAGTAGAATTGATTGTGTGTCAAAATTATATAAATGCTTAAATGCAAGATAGGTGCAATGCAAAGGTTTATAGAAGGCATATGTGGTGACCGGGGTGGAGTAGCAACTTGGTAAGCTTTGGGATCTACTGGGGGGATTAGTAAAACATAATTCTGAATGGATTATGAAAGTATGGCTTTGGCGAGTCCTCTCTCTCTCTTCTCTGGCACTGTTCCTCTTTTGGTCACCATGAGCTAAGAAGCTTCTGCTGTTCCTTGCGCTTCTGCCATAACTGTCCTACCTTGGAAACAGGTGACCGTGGACTAAATACACAGAAACTGAGCAAAATTAAACTTCTATTCCTTTAAGTTGTAGGTGTCAGGTATTATGTCTCAGTAATGAGAAAGCTGATATGAAAAATTGGTCATGGAGAACCAAGGTTGTTGCTATGACTGCCTATGATCATGTGGTTCAGAAATCTTTGTAACTAGTCTGTGAATACAGTTTGGAGATGTCAGCTAGAGAAGTCCTGAATGCTATAAGCCAGATTGATGGGTAATTGAGGTTAAAACTCAGACCAGAATTCTGATGGGAATGTGGACAGTAAAGGCCAGGCTCAGGAAGTTTCAGTTGGAAATACAGATGACACTGCCATACAGACTAGCGGCTGTGTTTGTTGTATTCTACCCATGTTCAAAGATTTTCTCAGAGACTACGATTAGAGTGGTGGACTAAATGATCAGGTGGAGGAAATTTCAAAATAGCCAAATCTTCAGGCTGTGATATGGGTACTACTGGCTGCCAGATTTATGGTGACAATTCAGGGCAAAAATCATAGCAGAAAAATCTTAAAAGTTAAAATTTGGCCCTAAGGAACCATGTGTAAATTTGGGACCTAAGAAGGTATTGCTGCTGAAGAGATCATCATTATGAAAAAGAGAACAAATACTTTGTACAGGACAAAGAAGGGCTATCTAAGGAATTGGCTCTCTGGGTTTCGTTTCACTGTTGCTCAGTGGTCCAGGCACTGGCAACAGTCAGGGTCTAAGGGGGTCTGGCTGTTGTTTCCACTAACAGCAGACCTTAGCATCACCCAAGTGATTTTTTTATTGCTATACAGAATATAGTAGTTGTGGAGTCACACACCCTTCCTCTTAGACTGGAAAGGAAGGCCTTGGGGGCCAGGGCAGGAGTCTGTAGATGGCATCATGTGACGCTGCAGAACTGAAGTCAGAAGTACAGTGGAGACGTGAGGAAGTCAGAGACACAAGGCAAGCTGAGTGTCTGCTCAGGAAAGCTGCATGTTGTGACTGGTGCCATCCTAAGAGAAAGGTCATGTGGCTACACTCAGCCAGGCCATAGGGGTTGGGCTGCCCAAGCCCTCTGGAATTTCACACCTTGTGTATCCTGGATATATAACTGTAGATACTGGATATACAAGTCAGAAGTGGACATTTGCCATACTGGGCTTCAATTTTGCTTTGATCCAATTCTTTTTTTTATCTCTATTCCTCCCTTTTGGAATAAGAATATTTGTCCTGTACCATAATCCCTGTACCTTGGGATTATGTGACCAGTTTTTCATTTTTACAGAGCTTTGTGCTTTGCTTGCCTGGAAGTCCAAAAGAAAATTTGACATGGATTTTTTTTAATTGAGGCAAAATCTCAATTCCATAATTCAGGCTGGTCTTGAACTCACTATGTAGCCCATGCAGGCCAAAACTTGCTGTGATCCTCCTGTCTCAGTCTTCCAGAGGCATGTGCTACCACGCTCTGCTTTGACTTGAATATTTGAAAAGTGCTTGCACTGTGCAAGCTTTGGGGAAGCAATTGTCACATTTCCATTTGTACCTAGGATGGCTGAAATATGTTAGTTAGAATTACGAACTTGTTATGGTTTTATTTGGGATTAAGTGTGGTTTTAGAAAATGTGTCTATTGATGAAGGGAGGGTGTGGTGGTGATTAGTTAGGAAAAAGCAGTGAATTATTCAAGTTGGAAAAGCAGATGACATGTTTATATATATAGAAAATTCTGTTGACTCTATAAAAATTAGAATAAACTCAATAAAGTAGAAAAATACAAAATTGACATGCAAAATTCAACTGCATTTCTATAGACTGACAATGAACCATCCAAAAGCAAAATTAAGAAAAACACCTTTCTGTTAATATAAAAGTATTTTGGCAAAGGTTAACAGAGGTGAAAACTTGTAAAACAAAATTATAAAACATTGTGCAGAGTAATGTAGGATATCTTTCCATGTTTCTGTCTTTAAATTTTTTTTCAGTGTTAGTGTTTAGAAATTAAACTGATTTTTGCATGTTGATTTTATATTTTTCTACTTTACTGAGGAAAAAAATCTCTGAGTAAATTAATTAATCTATAGAATGGGGATTGCTAATATAATCCTGTCATAGGGTTGTTTTAGATATTAAATAAGACATCATTTTTGTATGTGCCTAGTAATGTAAAAAAGACTCCACATATTAGCTGAAGATGCACCAGTTTCTTCAAAAACTTAGAAAGTTGCATTATACTTTTTGATTTCCTATGTTCACTTAAATTCAGACATAAATTTATTTTCTTACAAGGTAACTTTTTAATGTAAATTTGAGTAAAGAACATGTAACTTTATGATTTTGGCATTAGATTCCAAACTTTTCTCTACAAGACTAATTATTGAGAAATGGCTTGAGCAGTAAATCTTTAGTTTTATAAAATTATTTTATTGTGGAATTTTATTGCTTGCATCTTAGACTAGTGCTTATAGCATTTTAAATATTTTATAGGAAATATTGCCTTTAGTTGTGTGTGAAATAGTCTCCATTTAAATTCAAGAATTTCTTACAATAGATTTTATTTTTAAGTCTTCCAATTTTCCAGGCAATGAATAATCATTATTAAATCTATGGTATGTATATGGCACTCTGTTAGATCCTACATACTGCATAAAATAAATGAAGATTTATCTTTTTCTTGAAGAAAAATAAATGCCAAAATTTACTGTTTTATAAATAGGTTATCATCTCATAGAAAATTCTAACTGGGAATTTGAGAAGACAGAGACTATTTAATTTGGCTTCTCTTAGAAGATGCTATGGTGGACATGGCATTTTTGATGGAATTTATAGAATGAAAAAGACAACATAGCAAGACACTGTCTAAAAATAAAAAAAACTTAAAAATAGGCTAAGGATGTATCTCAGTGTGATGACCCTGGATTTAATACCCAGGACCCGTTGAGGGTTGAGAAGAGGGGAGACAGGAGAGGGGAAGAGAGAGGGGAGAGGGGAGAGGAGAGAGGAAGAGAAGGAGGAGGAAGAAGTGGAGAAGAAAGGAGGAAATGTTTAGGTTTGCATCACACGGAATTTATTTCTTCATATGAACAGTCTATTTGCTTAAGGATGTGTGGCTTTCCACCATTCTCTGTGTGTTCTGAGTTAGTTCACATTTTGGTCTTTCATGGCCGTGGGTCTGGGGGACGTAGTAATGTATTGGTACTCTAAATTATAGCTGCTATTGTGTGTCTCAGTCTTTAGACTTGACTCTTTCTTGCTTCTTGCTTTTCATCTTCCTACTTCCCCTGATCACTAGTGTGTTCACTGTCCTATCTTTTCCATCAGTACTTACTTCTTGTTACTTTCCTTTTCCTACTTAGATCTTCCCATCTTCAGTGATACAACCCTGATTATATATAATTGACAAGGTGCATTATTTTAAGATTATATAATTTTAAGGTAAGCATTAGTCAGCTTTCCCATCACTGAAACGTAACATGTGACAGCCCACACACAACATAAAGAAGGAAAGGGTTAATGTAGTTTATGGTTTCAAAGATTCAGTACGTGGTTGGTCGACTCCAAAACAGAATGGTCTTGGTGGAATGGTTCACGGCAGCCAGGAAGCAGAGAAGGGGAATAATGCTGAGAGAAATGACCAAAGGATAATATATAATACCCAAGACCACACCTTCATGACCCACCCAGACACACCAGGAGTGTGCTTTACTAATCTACAAGGTGTTTTTTAGTCCAATGAAATTGACAAATCAGAAATAACAGTCGCAAGTACTATTATTGTTTAGATCATTTTGGAGACCCATTATCTGATTCGAGACCCTGTATCCCAAGCACAGACCCAAAACATATCTGTGTCTCATTCCCACTTGGCACTTTATTCTAGTCCTGTTTCTTCAAGTTGCTACTAATAAAACTTGATCAGCATTCCTCTTTGAACTTGGTGCTCAAGTTTGAATTGGGTTCCCAGCTCAGATTGTTTCTTGGATGCACTTATAAATATACATTTTTTTCTGGTAACTACCTGGATGTTTTCCTAATGAAATGAAAGGACCATTTCCTATCATACACTAAGTATTCTGCAATATTGTATGCAGCATTGGAAAAATTTTGAGAGCTACTAGGTTGGATGCTGTGAGGGAAGCAGACATAGATAATATGTGTACAGTGATATTTACAACTACTGTGTACTGTGTGTTTCCAATTCTCAGAGCTGTCTAAGGACATGTAGATAGTTCTTACCATCCTGTTTTGCAGATATAAAATAAAAGCTCAGAAAATTTCATTTCTATGTCCAAAACTCCACATACTTAGGAGTTTGGGATATAGCATCATCTCTATCTACACATTCTGTTTGCTTTCCACCATGGCACTGTGCCCTTTAACACATGATGCTTTATTCAAGGTGTTTACAATGCAATGGAAGAAGTAAGATGTTTATTAAATGACTTAATAAAACAACAAAACCTCTTTCCAAATTGAACTCTGTATTCCCTGGATTTTTATTTGTTGGTGATACTGTATTTCTCCTATTGTAGTTCTAGCTTTCTCCAGTTTAGGCTTTTCTTAATTCTCTCACGTGTCTAACACTCATGTGTGGAATCCTTCTGTCTTGGCCCAGCATAATTTCATTGACATGTTTTCTTTAGTGTCGGTTTACCTCCTCCCTTGAATGGCGTCTTTTCTGCTGTCTTGCCGCCATTTTCAATTTTTTTCCTGTTGCTAAACTTCTACTTCTGCTAGTTCTTTTTGACTCAGAGCTTCACAGGACTTCTGCTCCTATTGATAAGTGAATCCAGTCTGCATTTTTATGTCTCATTTTAAGCATTTAAATCTGAATTCTCCATACCAGCCAAGAGAATCTACTCTTCCGTAGTAGGACATGTTTTTCCTCCCTGCCCCCAAATTTACAACTACCTGGACTAAACTTTTTTATTATGTTGCATAAGTACTTCAGTTTCTGCAATTTCTATTGACCTTGGATATCTCTGATTCTCTCTGACATTCATGGTTCAGGCTGCACATTTTTAGAAGGTATTAAAGTGAAGTGGAATATAAAAGGAAATCTGTAATTGAAAGACAACCTGGAACCCTCATCTTCTCCATACCCTTTCAGTACTCACTGTGGCTGCTGTATTTTAGGAGGTGATAATATCCTAACCTTCCCCCAATTTTAGCATCATTCCATGTAGTTTTATATATTTATCCTTAATAAGTACAAGTTTAAGTTTCATTTTAAAGTACAAATTGCTATGTTTTGGGTGAATATGTGAAGATTTATTTTATGCATTTTTGATACATTGTGAACCTCCCAGTCTTTTTTTTTTAAGTAGGATAATGACACACAGAAACAAGGAAAAATTACAATAGAAGAATTTAGAACAATTTATCGAATCATTGTATACAGAGAAGAAATTGTTGAGATTTTCAACACATATTCTGAAAACCGGAGAATTCTTTATGAGAGTAATTTGACTCAATTTCTAACACAAGAACAACATGCAGTTGGGGAGACTAAAACTACTGCTTCTGAGATTATTCAGAAATATGAACCCATTGATGAAGGTATGTTTCCCTTTTGAAGTTTTAGCTGAATAGTTACACGTAAAGTATTTTATTTTATGAATTATGGGTGCTAAATTAAAATTTTTGAATTGGTCAACTTTATTCTGAAAACAATGAAAGGTTGACATTTTATTTTTGTTTTTTGTACAAAAGTATACAAAGTTTTTAGAAAGATGTAACCAGTAATAATGACATTCTTTCTTATTCTATAATTTGGCTTTCCTTTTATCTGTTCCCATGTATCTCTGAAATGTTGAATTAGGTGTGAAATAAGCTCAGGATTCTGTTACCTATATTTTATTAGAAAAATGTCTCGATCTCATGAATTAGACAGCAACCTGGTTATAGGTGGTTTCTTATTTTTATGGAGTACATTGTTTCAAATGTAGATGAAAATTAAGCAAGTTAAATGAAAACAAATCTAGGAAGGAAAAATACTACAAAGTCACTAATTTTTCTTTTATGCAAACAATTGTCCACAACCATATGTCTGCTTTCTTTTTGTTACTGTAACAAATTCCCAAGGTAACAAGTTTATAAGGAGGAAAGATTTACTTCACCATTTTGGTGATTTCAGTCCATAACTGATGTGTCCAGTTGCTTTGGGCCTGTGGCAAGACAGCGTATCATGGTAGGAGTGGGTAAGGAGGAAGCTGCCAACCTCATGGCAGTTAGGAAGCAAAAGAGAGGGAGAGGAGAGGTGGGGTCTCAGTGTCTCCCTGAAGATCACACTCCCAAGGTTTAAGATTTCCAATAAGGCCCCGCCTTTTAAAGTTTCCATTGCTTCCCAATAGCATCACATGAGAAACCAAGCTTTTAACCCACGGATCACTGGGGGACATTGAAGATCCAAATCACAGGAACAATGTTTCAAAAATGTTTTAAAACTCTTTTACGTTCCCTTCTTTTTTAAGTTTGTAAAATGTATTATTATCTTTTAGTTAAGCTGATATATAACACATAAAAGCTCTACATATTAATGGGGTGGGATGAATGGTACATGTTTGCATTGGGTGATTTTAAAGCAGGTTAAACATTTATCTCCTCAAATGTGCATCATTTCTTTATGTTGAAAACTTTCAAATTCCTTTCTTCTAGCTCTTTGAGATGTATAGTAAATTACTGTTATCTAGAATCACCATTATTATACAATAGCACATTAGGTATTTCTCATGTCTGTCTGTCTCTCTCTCTGAATCTTTGTCTTTGTATTTTTGCTGTGCTGGAGGATGAGCTCAAGGCTTTTTTTTTTTGGTACCAGGGATTGAACTCATGACCCACCCCAGCAAGCTCAAGACTTTCTGTACGCTAGGCAAATGCTGTACCACTGAGATCCATCTCCAGCTACACATTTTCCTTTGTTTTAAAATGCATAGTCATTTTAAATTAAATGATCATTTAGGCTAATGGCCATCATATATTTTGGAATCTTTGTTCCATCTTTCAATGTATAAAACACTTAATTTATGTTCATTTCTAAATAATAAAGGCAATATAATAAAATATTTACATAATTGTATGAGACTTACTGTTGAAGCGCAATGATTAACTCTGAAGAAATTAACTAAGTAGCTCCAAATATTTGTTTGACAAAGAAGGAATCAAAGTACAAGTTGGTTTAGGCTACCAGTGTTTAACGTATGGTCATATCAGTTCTACAAAGACCAAAACTTTTCCTTCACTGAATTATACGTTTATAATTATCCAAGTAGCAGTTTGTGATAACCAAGTATAGTTCTAGAGTCTGGGGATACAGCGGAGAAGCAGGCAGTCAGGTCATAGTCTTCATGAGGGATACAAAGAGTTTGACATAAATAATTAAGCATACAAAAGAGCCATTTCAGAGAGTGCCAAGTGCTATAAAAAATACAACAGGGAAGGTGACACAGTAAATGTTTAGGTTGTGTGTTTGGAAGAATCTTCTCTGAGGGTATGACTTCAGAGTTGAGACTTAAATGACATGAAAGAAGTCATTTGACCAAATAAGAGAAGTGCCAGATGTCCAAGGAAGAGATAAATTGGACCTGAACTGAAGAATTGAAGGAACAGAAAAAGAACAGTGTGGTTAGAACTTGGAGAATCAAGAGGAAATGAGTTTGGAGAGATGAGCAGATAGCAAACTGTGTATGGTCTTATAGGCCAGAAGTGAGCTTTTGGATTCATGACAATGTCATGAAAAGATTTTGGAGGATTGTAAGTACTGTAGTGACATCATTGAGTGAAATGCTGATAGCAGTTTGGTCTGAGCACCATTAAACTTTTGCAAATTTGCAACAAGACAGAAAACTGGCACCAGAATGGTAACCAACTACATTATGAAGGCTATCTAATTTTTTGATAAGACTTTTTTTCTAAGGAAGCAATGACTGATTTATAGTCTGCTCGTGTCACTGCACCTTGGAAACAACCATCTTAACAGATGTGCACTGTCAGTACCACTAATGTAGTAAATATTTAAAAAAATGACATTGGCACTGTTACTACTGAGTGGTAAACGATACAAAAAGATATTGGTATTGTAGCACTGACATTTTGCAACTGTTTCCATTTTTAGTACAACATTATATTGTTTGTCCAATTCATCCATTGAGCTTTCACTTGTCATGGACATGCACACACACAGCCAAGGCCTTGCATCTCATTTGTAGGATCCTTGATCACTTTAGTCTTACTGGAGCCAATTCTAATTCTAATTTCATAGTTCTAAATGCTGTTAGGCTCCTCAAACTCATCTCACATTGCTATGTAACATGTATGTATTATAGTTTACATTTTTAAAAAATCCATGAGCTTAATCTTCATTTCAGTCCAGTGTTTTTTGAGGTCACAAAATTAGCTTGTTTGTCATCCTATTATAAAAGATATACACATAAACCAATGATTACTACTTGCACAGGGAAAAAGAATACATTAATGCAAATTATCACTGTTACAATGCACGATGTGTTTACTCAATGTGTTCCCATATTCGTAAATTTATATGGTTTTGAAATAGAGGATCTGTGTATCTATAAAAATTGCTAATGCATTTTTTAGCTTTTATTTTTAAATCAAAATAGTAATAGCCTTTGAATGCTGGCTTTTTGTTTTTTATGATGTCATAAACATTTACTTATGTCACTGCATATTTTTATGATACATTATTTTTAATGGTTACTTAGTATTATACTGTATTTTAAGCTTTAATTTGCTTCTTCTCTGCTATTTAGTTTTTATAAATAATGCTAATGTGAACATTTTTTAGACATCAGTTTTTTTCTGAGTTTCTGTTTCTGCAGAATAAATTCCTAGAAATTAAATTCTTATCAAAGGATCACACTCTAGTCTAAAATGAATATGCATTCAGCTTTTCTTTTGAGTGGAATTTAATTATCATTAGCCACAATAGCAACTCACATTTATGGAGCATGTTCTCAGGTTATCTCCATTTCATAGACATGGTAAGGACAGCTAAAGCTTTCAAGGTCATACAACATATAAATGCATTTGGAGCAAGACTGCCTTGTTCTAGAGCCAATGTTTTGAATAATTTTAGAGGTATTATGTTGAGTAAAAATGTTCATAGATAAATTACCATACACGATCTTACACAAATTCCAGCAATTCCACTCATAGACATGCACGGAACATAAATATGTGTGTGTATATATATATATATATATATATATATACATCAAAACACAGGTACTGGTTGTTAATAGTAGCACCATTTTATATTACACCCACAAAGGTAAATATCTAAATACTCAGTAGAATGGATAAATTATAATATGCTTTTAACAATAGAATGCTGTATAGAAATGGAAATGAACAATGCATAACTATATACAACTATAGAATAAATCTTAGAAACATAATGTGAAGAAAAGGAAATCAGACTCTCAAATATACAGTGAGTGCTCACTTGAAGTACAGCAGCTGGGGAAGCTAACCTACTCTTCCAGCAGTCAGACCAACACGTGCTGTGGGCCGAACAGTGACTTACAAGCCAGTAGGAGGCAGCTTTGAGGAGCATTAATGTTCTCTTTAACTCAGTGCCTGTTAGTCAGATGTATAGCTTGGGGAATTTTATTGATTTATGATAGATGCATTTTTAAAATGTAAAAAATAAAATATATTCCTGAATATATTTTATATATTATTATATATTATATATTTATATATTATATGTGGAAGAATAAAAGGTATTCAGTAGAAGAATTTAATTCTAAATGATTGTTTTAGAAAACTGCTTTGCTACTCAGTATGTAGGTGAGATATAATTTTTTATTACTAATGGTATTTCTGCATCCCTTTAATTTTACTTTTTCTAGTCAGACAAGCACATCAGATGTCACTTGAAGGCTTTACAAGATACATATATTCGCCTGAATGTCTACTATTTAAACAGGACTGTAAAAGTGTTTATCAAGATATGACCTATCCACTAACTGATTATTTTATTTCATCTTCACATAATACATATTTGGTATCTGATCAATTAGTGGGACCCAGTGACCTTTGGGGATATGTAAGGTATTTATTTTGATTTTTAAGTTTGTTACTTAAAAATGGTCAATAGAAAGGATAAATTCTATAGGAAACTTCTGGTAGTGTTTATCTCAGTGATGTGGAACAGAAATCAGGCTATGCACAGGGAGCAGGAATTTTTATTTCTACTTATATTGATGACCTTTGGATGAAATGGCAGCATGATTTGCTGTATGTATTAGTATCAGTTCCTGTGTACTGATCTCCATGATTACAGCACCTCTGAAAGTTAATAATTTGAATACTTATAAGAAACATGACTTCTTTTATCATACTGTACAAATGTCAAACATAGATTTTAACTAATATGACTAAAATTAATGTAATATCAAGACACTATTAAGAAATTGCATGATCCAGCATTCAGTGATAATGATTTTTATAGATTTATATATCAAGTAATTTACTATATGAAGGGTAATTCCTGCTGAATCCTCAATTTATATTCTAGTATTAATACTTGGCTTCAAATTAGTCAGGTAGCAGAGATATGATAGTGAGAAAGATGAACAAAGCCACTCATCTGTGTACAAATTTTAGGGGATGTTGCTAGGAAAGTTTCTTACCCTGAGTGGCCATAAATAAGGTTTCATGAAAAGATCTGATAGGAAAGATACACTGGACAGAAACGGTGATAAGCGCTTGGCACATTTAAACAAGAGGAGTCAAGAAATATAGTTGAAAACAAGCAAACTATGAATGAAGGCAGATAAATTTGAGGTGGATAGTGAAGAAGGGTCTGGTTGACAGCGATTGCACTGAGAAGACGCTGGAGAGATTTTCTTCCATAGCATGTCACAGGTTTTCTTCAGAGGAAAGATAGAGCAAGAGTAGAGGTCAAAGATGACTTGGGTAGATATTTTAGCAGGCCAGGTGATGATTGCTATGTAGATGGTGAACTCATGGAATCATAACTGCCAGAACAAGTGACTGAATTTGAGATATTTTGAGGAGGCCGAGCCAATAAGGGATAACAGGGAATTTGAAGAAGAGTACAAGGGAGAGAGAAGAATCAAGATTTTTGGCCCAATGACCAAGTACACAGGACCCTGCTAACTGAAATTGTAAAGTTGGAGAGAAAAGCTCATTGTAGGATGTAAGGAAAAAGCAAGGATTCTGTTAATTGAGATATAATTAGTTATCAAAGATCTGGATCAAACAGTGTGATATATGTTTCTGGAATTCAGAAGGAATATCCAGACTGGAAAAACAGGGTTGGAAGTCATCAGTATGTAGATGATTTTTAAAGTCATGTGTTTGACTCAGATCATTTAAACAGAAACACCATAGAGAGAAAAATATGTTACAATTCTATAAGAATAATAGACTTTCAAATAAAAATTACTGCTCCTTCAGTTTAAAATGTAAGTAAATGCATGTGACTGTGAAAAAAATTCTTATTGCTATATATGCATTTGCAGGAATCAGCAAGAACATTTTTTTAAAAATATACCAATATATTTAGGGAACTCTGACAAAAATAACCTATTTTATAGTGGCATACAGTGACCTCTGTGTTGGCTCTGCAGACTTTGAGATGTCTCTATGTATATTCATTAGTATTGAGTCAGTAAAAATTCTGAGTTCAGTCAGCTCCAACTGACAAGTAAAAACACTGAAATTCATTTAAACTCAGTGGGCACAAATGACTATATCCCTAAAATGGAATTTATGTCAGGTCAAGAGATAGATTTATTGGACAGATGTAAAATGAAACTCAGTTTTAGGTATTAGCTGAAGTGGAAATATATTACCTTACATCAGATAAGTTTGTGAATTTGGTGTAATCTGAGGTAGCTTTTAAGTTTTTCCCAGTAAATTTATGAGTTAAAAGAGATATAGATTAAAGTATTCTTGTTTCCTTTGTATAAATTTTAATTTTCCCTAGCTCTGACATGGGTGAGAATTAGGAGAGAGCGTTACAAAAAACTGAGAAGATAAAGAATGTCTACTAAGCTCGCAAGCTCTCTGTCTTCCTCTCCATCCAGAGATATTCTCTCTCTTTCTGTCTCTCTGTGTCTCTGTCTCTCTCTGTCTCTGTGTGATCCTCCCTCCCTCCCTTTCCTCCCTTTCCCTTTCTCTTCCTCCTCCTCTGCTCTTCTGACCATGTATTCTATTCCTCAGAACTTGAGTTGAGGAAAGAATCAGAAAAAAATTTGAAATTCTGAAATGGCTTTGAATGTAATCTCATTCCAAAGAAACTTAATCTAACAATAGACATCACTCTAGCCAAAATTATTTGATTTGGGGGTATGGACTCAGGCAGCTTTCTTTTCTCTCTGAACTAAGGTTTGAATAACAATAAAAGATAGAATATTTGGCTAGAAAGCTCCCGAGTTCATGGGTACTTTGCTCTTCTTTTTTAGGTTGTAAATTTAATCTAGAGACTAGTCTTGTTCTTATGAATTTATGCATTTGTTGCAAAATCACAAATGATTTTTGGAATATCTTGACTATGGTATACATTGTTATCTGTCTGGGAATGACATGTTATTTTGTTTAAATGTTATTAGTGCCCTCGTGAAAGGATGCCGGTGTTTGGAAATTGACTGCTGGGATGGATCACAAGGTGAACCTGTGGTATACCATGGCTATACACTCACCAGCAAGCTTCTGTTTAAAACTGTTATCCAGTCAATAAGCAGATATGCATTCATGGTATGAGTCTATCTTTTAAAAATTGTTTTTATTTAAAAAGAATCAATTGTAATTTACTCTCTTCAAAATCCTATACTGCTTGGCCTAGGTTTAGACCAGGCGCATTTTAAGCTGTGGCTTATAACACATTAGTAGGCATTAATGTCAATGTAGTGCATGGTTAAAGCTATGTTTATTAAAGTTACACTCAGGCAGTAAAGTGCATGCTATTTTATGCAACTTACTTCTAAATCTTGTGTGTGTGCATGGGGGAGCACCCCTGTGTATGTGTAATGGGGTTAAATGTAATATTTTTGTTATAGGTCATGGCCCAAAATTTTTAAAAATATCAATCAGAATAATAGTAAACATTTTTCCAATAAATAACTATTTTATTTTCTAAAAACCTGGATAATATCAATAATGCAGTATCTAGATTGTTGCTGTTATTTATACCTGTAATTGCAATACCAAAGAACATTTGAAAGTTTACTTTGAAATTGTTATTCAATTGATTAAAGTTACAGATTTTTTTATTGATTAAGTTTATTGGTACACTTTAGATATACATAATGATCACACTCATTATAGGGAATTTGTACCTGAATATAATATAACTTGTTTCTTTTTTCCCATTTCTCTTTTCCCCTCTTTATTTTTAAAAGCTTTGTTTCAATTTTTTCCTTCTTTCCTCTTTGCTTTTTTCCCCTTCCCTCTCTAGTTTGCATTCTCATTTGAACATATTCTTCCTATTTCACAATATCTATTATGCATTTTGGTTCTTATTTACACTTTTGGTTTCTCACACCAGAAAATTCTGTATTTATACGTGTTTTTCATCTATTTCACTTAACAGTATGATACTAAGATGCATCCATTCACTTAGAAATGTCTTAAACTTATCCTTTTCATGACAGAGAGTAGTAATCCATTGTATAAAAAAACCAACATCTTCTTTATCCATTCATCATTTAATAGGCATTTACACTGTTTCCAAGATTTATGTATTACAGGCTGTGCTTATATAGCAGCAGCATACATCACTGTGGTATGATGCTTTTAGTTCTTTCAGGAAGAATCCAAGAAGGGGGATAGCTGGGTCAAATGGAACCTCTAGTCTTAGTTTTTTGAGGAACTGCCATACTGATTTCCACAGTGATTACGTCAGTCTGCAATCCCACCAATGGAGAAGGGTTCTTCTTCCCTACAGCCCCATCAGCATTTGCTACTGGTTGATTTCTTGATAGGAGCTATTTTTTCTGGAATTTATTTTTATGCTCATTTGTATATTGAGTTTTTATATGTGGAGAACTTGATTTTTTGAGTTCTTTATATGTTTTAGATACCACTCTTTTATCTGAGGAACAGCTGGCAAAGTTTTTTTTAACACTTTGTGTGTTGTCTTTTCATTCGATTGGTGGTTTCTTTCGCTGTGCTTTTAAAAGTCTTTTAATAAGATGAGATCTCTGTTGTTGATTCTTTGTAATATTTCCTATGCTGTTGGGGGTTTGTTCATAAAGTCTGCCTATACCAATGTTTTGAAGAGTTTCGCCTATTTCATCTTCCAGCTGATTTAGTATTGGTTTTAATATTTAGATCTTTCATCCATTTCAATTTTAGTTTAGTGTGTGGTGAAAGATTTGGGTATAGTTTTAATCTTTAGTGTGTGGAAAATCAGTTTTTCCAGCACCATTTATTAAAGAAGATATCTGTCTTCCAGTGGAGATTTTTGAAACCTTGTCAAAGATAAAGTGGGTGAGTATGTCTGGAGTTGTTTCTGCATCTTCTAATCTGTTGCACTGATCCTTGGGTCTGATTTTTGCCAGTACCATGCTGTTTTGTTTTAATCACAGTAGCTTTGTAGTATGATTTGAAGTCTGGGGTTATAATAGCCCCTGCCTTGCCTTTGTTATGTTATAAGAGTCTTTGGGTTCCAAATGAATTTTAGGATTATTATCTCTAATTCTATAAGATATGCTATTGGAATTTTGATAGGGATTGTATTAAATTTGTATAACAATATTGAGAGTACATCTACTTTATTTATTTATTTATTTATTTATTTATTTATTGTTTTTTTCCTTTTTATCGGTACCAGGGATAAAACTCACGACTGCCTGCTTGCAAGGCAGGCGCTTATGCTGCTGAGCTAAATCCCCAGCCCCAGTACGTCTTACTTTAAGTGTATTGGTTCTTCCTACTCCAAAACAAGGGATATCTTTAAATTTTCTGGTATCCTTTCAGATTTCCTTTTCCAGCATCCTATAGTTTTCAATATAAAGATCTCTTACTTCCTTTGTTAGGTTGCTGCCTAAGTATTTCGTTATTTTTGATGCTGTTGTGAAAGGTGTTGTTTACCTAATTCTATCTCAGTGAGTCTGTAATTTCTGTACAAACATGCTATTGATTTTTGAGTTTGTATCCAGCTACACCACTGAATTTTTCCAAAAGTATTTTGGTGAAATTTTAAGCGTCGTCTGTGTATAGTATTATGTCATACAAAATAATGATAATTTAATTTCTTCCTTTTCTGCCCTTATTTTTTAAAAATTTCTTCCTCTTGTGCTTTTGTGCTGGCTTATGTGACAGAACTATACTGAGTAAGTCTGTGACAATGGACATACTTGTCTTGCTCCTGATTTTAGAGTAGAAGCTTTTAGTTTGACCAGTTAGTATGATTTTGGCTATTGGCTTGTTTTTTGTGAGTTTTGTCAGATTGAGATAAAGATCTTCTACTCCAGTTTCCTGAAGGGTTTTTGTCATGAATTGAAGTGGTACTTTATCAAATGCTTTTTCTGAATCTATTGAGATCATAATATGTTTTTGTCCCTGACTTTGTTAATATGCTGTATTATATTTATTGATTTAGATATGTTGAACCATTCCTGCATCTCTGGAATGAATCCTACCTGATCATGGTGTACAATCTTCTTGAGATTTGGTGAATTCTGTTTGCTAGTATTTTTTTGAGGACTTTTGGATCCATGTTCGTTAGGGAGATTGACCTGTAGTTCTCATTTTTGGTTGAATCCTCCTCTGATTTTTGTACCTGGGTAATGCTTATTTTCAGGAATGAATTTGGGAATATTGTTTGTCTTTCAATTTAATAAACATTTTAAGTACTGTGGGTGTTCTCTAAATTTCTTGTAGAATTCAGCCGTGAATCTGTTAGGCCCTGCACTTTTCTTTGTTGATAGATTTTGAATTAGATTTTCAATTTCACTGACTGTTTTGGTTTATATGGAATTTTTAATACATTCTTGATTTATCTTTGATAATACATATATATCTAGGGATCTGTCCAATTCATCAGGATTTTCCAATTATATTACAATATACAAGTTCTCAAAGTATATATAGATGATTCTATGGATTTCTGTAGGATCTATTGTTATTTCACTCTTTAAATTCCTAATTTCATGGATTGGAGTCTTTTTTCTTTTTAAAAAATAACATGGTCTAAGAGTTTGTCAATTTTATTTAATCTTTCAAAGAACCAACTTTTTAATTCATTAAACATTATATTGCTTTTTAGTCTCCATTGCATTAATTTATGTTCCAATCTTTTTAGTTTTCTCAATTTTACAAGCTTTGGATTTGACCTGGTCTTTTTTTCTAGAAGCTTGAGGTTCAATATTAAATTATTAATGTGAGCTCACTCTGATTTCCTGACATGGGTATTCGACATTAAGTATTTCCCTCTTAGGAATGCTTTCATTTTGTCTCATAAGTTCTGTTGCATTGTATTGACATTATCATTTAATTGTAGAAACAATCTAATTTCATCTTTAATTTAGTCTGTGGCTCACTGGTTGTTCATAAAGATGTTATTTAATTACCACATGTTTATGATGTTTTTGCAGTTTTTTTGCCACTGATTTCTAATTTCATTGCACTATGACCTGAATAATTTCATTTCTTTTGTATTTACTTAAGCATGTTCTATGATCTATTATGTGATTTATTTTGGAGAATGTCCCTTGTACACCTAAGAAGAATGTATATTCAGATGTGAGTTGGAAAACTCTGTAGATATCTACTAAATAGATTTGTTCAAAAGTTTGATTCATTTCTGATATTTGTTGATTTTTTTTGTCTAGTTGATCTGTATCTGTGACAGTGGGGTACTGATGTCCTCCACTGCAATTGTATTAGTACTTACTTGATTTTTCATGTTGGTTAATGTTTGTTTTATATAATTGGACACACTAGTATTCGGTGCACATATATTTATGATTGTGTGTGTCCTCTTGAATTGTTCCCTGTACAAGTATATAACCACCTTCTTTGTCTGTCTTGATCAGTATTGGCTTGAAATCCATTTTGTCTGCAAATAGAATAGTTTTTTTTTCCTGGTTTCTGTCACATGCAGTATTGTTTTCTATCCTTTGATTTTCAGTCTGTGAATTACTTTTTGAGTTAGGTGTGTTTCTTCCATGCAGCATTTTGTTGGATATTTATTCTTGATCCACTGAGCCAGTCTGTTCCCTTTGACTGGTGAATTGAGGCTATTTATGTTGTGTTATAACTGATACATATTGACTTACGTTTGTTTTGTTATTTTCCCGTTGGTAGTTTCCATTTCCCCCCTCTATTAAATTGCTTGCCTTGCGAGATAGATTTTTTCTGTGATGATTTATGGAGTTATAATACTTGTTATCTCTTTATACAATGTCCTTCAGGATACTTTGGAATATAGATTTTGTGTTCATGAATTTTCTCAGGTGTTCTCTGTCGTGGAACTATTTTAGTTTCCATCAATTTTGAATGATAGTTTTGCAAGGCACATCAAACTTAGTTGGAAATTGTTTTCCTTTAGAGCTTGAAATACTTCACCTCAAGATCTTGAGTGTTTGTGTTGAGAAGTTTTTATTGTGACTCTGATGGGCTTTTCTTTATAGGAGATTTGTTTCTTTTCCCTAATAGCTTTTAATATTTTGTTTTGTGTTGAATTTTCTAAATCTTGACTATTATATGGCTTGGTGTAGATTTATTTTTATCATGGTTAATTGGAGTCCCATAGGCCTCACTTATCTGTATGTCAAATTTTCTTACTTTTCCAGGGAAGTTTTCTTCAGTGACATCTCTGAACAAAATTTTTTTTGTTATTTGTGCTATCTTTTTCATCGATGCCAATAAATTTTATATTATTCTTCTTTATGTCTTCTGGCAGCTAGTGGTTTGATTTTATGTGGTCTCTTGCTATTTTTTTTAAAAACATTTGCTTTCATGATTGCTAACTGCTATGCTGTCTTCTGTATCTGAGATTCTGTCCCCACATTGGTTCATTCTGCTGTGCATACTATCAATGGAAATTTTAATCTCCTGGGTATCTATTGGAATCTGTTTTATAGACTCTGTTTCTTTTCTATGTTGGGCATTCATGGTTTCCATAATTTTCCTAAGCTTTTCTATTCTTTTTAATCTGCACCTCCTGTACAAACATATCTTTCACTATGGTCACCATCTCTGTACTCATCTGAGAAATTACTTCTGATTTGACTTTTTTCTGGAGCCTCTCTCATTTGTTTTGTTACATCTGCTGTTACCACTTCAGAGTCCAGGTGAGTGGGTTTCACAGTGTTCTACTCATTGCCCCCTGGTTTTACCTTCGGTGGGCTTGACATCTGGGGTTACATATTTTTAGGAGTCTTCTCGTTTTCTTTTCTTTTTTTTTTTTTTTAGTTTAATTCCTGGGTTGATGATTATAAATTGCCTATGGTAAGTAACTTTATTGCCAGTATTTAGAACCCTTAGGAAATGACTCCTTCTCAAAGGTGTGTTCTAGGTGTTGCTGGCTTTTGGGTTTTGAGTCTGTTGCAAGGTCCCACCTCATCAATTTATCGAGAATCATAAGTTGCTGCTACTTGCTCTGTCCCTGGTTCTTTAGAACTGCTCTATCGTGCTTTTTATCATTCTTAAACAATCTCAGTCTTGGTATACCTGGAATAAAAACCAGTTAGAATAATTTTGCCACTGTGATTAAAGTGGGTCAATCAGCAGTAGCTATAACATTAAACATAGACTAGAAAATGACAAATTGAGATGGCTATTAATTTCCCACCTGTATTTTACCTTTAAGGGAAGAATTTAAAAGGGGCTGGGGGGAAGACAGAGATATAGAAGAAGAGGAAGAGCTCAGAAGTAAGGCTGGAGGACAAAAGAGGATCATACAAACTTTGGGAAACTGATACAGAAGACAGGTGGGAAACAGAGAAGGAAGAAACACAAACAAGAACACAGTAAAACTACAACAAAAATTAGAAACTGTTCACACTTATATAAAAATAAGAACAAACAATGAAGAAAAATCCAAACCCAAAAAAGAAAAGAAAAGAGAAAGACAAAAAGAAATGAAACAAAAAAATTGTCCACTTCAGGGATTGTCTCTGCTCTCTCTGGTAGATAATTTGGAAAGACAGAGTCCATATTCATGTTGATTAATCCTAGAAAGCTAGCAATAGCTTTAGGTAGTGGATAATCTCAGTGAGCCTGAGTCTTTATTTCCTTTGCAGTTCAGGCTGGTTTCTGGCCATGAGTTGGGAATCCAACCCATTCAGCCTGCATCATTCTTGGCACCTCCTGTAGGTTTGGACTTGGCTGGGGTTCGCTAGATGAAGCCAGAACCTGCTGTGAGTTCTGACCTCACCTGGTCCCTCTGTAAAATAATTCCCGGCCAACTGCCCTCTTCTGAAGGATGTCTGAACCCACTAAAGTTACAGATTTAAAGTTCTAGTTCTTTATATAACTAAATTCATCTTACAAATCCTAATTATAAATTGGATGGATATTAGCAAACTCTCAACGTTAGAGTGTTTTGAATAGGGTTTGGTCCCATTCATAAAATTATGTATTTTCTAGTATTTCAATTTTTAAAAACTTTATATACTTTTTTCTTTAATTGTACTATAATTGAAGTGACTTAAGAAAATGTTCCTCACCACTTAATGTGTACCTAATGAACTTACAAATCTGCAAATACAAATTTAAAAATCACAAATTTAATCTGTTGTTCCATTATTTACTAGCCTAGAGTATGAAACACATATTTTCCAAAATAAAAATATCAAATTAAAAATTTCCTCATTAATATAGAAACATTATGGTAAGGCATCAATTCTTTTTAATTTATGATGATTTCTACATCCATACCTCTCCTTCAGACTCTACCTTGAATCAAAGTAAATATGTGCAATCACATCTGTGACATTTCTACATGGTTATTGCTGTGACATTTCTACTTGGCTATTGAATTGGCACATTTGACTGAACACTCATATTTAATATTGAGCTCTGATATTTCTTTTTTTTTTTTGCCATTCTTGCTCTTTCTTGCTCTTCCCATGACCTTTTCTAGCTCAGCTGATGGCCTTTCATGTGCTCAAAGTACAGTCATTGTTGTCAACTTTACTGTTCTCTTTTCTCAGAGCCTTCCATTATTACATCAGCAAATCATCCTGGCTCTACTTTAAAAATATTTTCTGATTTGACTCCTTATTTTTACTTTACCTTTGTTTCTGATTTCTTAAGCAACATGTTTTGATAATAGGATTTAAATTTGAAAAGGCAGAAATTTAACATTTCCCTTAACTCATCAGTATTAAGGTTTTCCTTGAGATTTTGAAATACTTAAATATGTATCTATGTATGTGTGTGTGTACATATGTGTATATGTGTTAAAAATAAAATGTGCAATATTATTCTTTTGCAACAAGTTAGTCAGCATTCTGTTACTGCACCAAATATATGGGACAATCAATTTTAAAAAAGAAGAAAGAATCATTTTGTCTTACTATTTTGAAAGTTTCAGTGCATGGTCGTTTGCCCCCAAAGCTTGGCTGAGGCCATACATCAGGGCAGAAGAAAATCATTGATCTCATTGTCAGGACAGCAAAGAGAAAAATAAGGAAAGTGCACCATCTCAGGATCCTTTGCAAGGGGCTGCCTTCTGTGATCAGAGGATCTCAACTAGGATCCACCTCTGAAAGTTTCCACGACTTAACTAATACTGATACACTAGGAACATGCAACATACAAATTATAGCAGGAAACTTGTTTTTCTGCATAAGATAGAAAACCATTATACTATAGTGATTTTCTATAATGGTATATATAGTTCTATCTTCTTAATGTGTCTGCTTAATTTCTTTTTATGACTGACATCATTTATTTAAACAAACATCCACTGATAGATGTGTCAGGTTTTTTTCTGTATTTTTGATGCATATGGTAATAATTTCCATTTTTGTCAAATGCAAAATTACTGATAATATGTAACAGTTTTGCAAAGGTGCTGAGCATTAGAAGTAGACTTTAAATTAAGTTATATTAATATTACATTAATTGCATTAGATTATTTAAAGGTGTTGATAATAATCACAGCAATGGTTAATTTTTCAGACATCTGAGTACCCGGTGGTTCTCTCTTTAGAAAATCACTGCTCTCCTTCACAGCAGGAAGTGATGGCTAACATTTTGCAGACTACTTTTGGACATTTCCTGCTTTCTGACATACTTGACGGCTTTCCGGACAGCCTACCTTCACCAGAGGTAATGCTTTGCTTCAGAAGCTCAGGTGAAGAACGAACAAACAGTAAAATGTCCCTGTTATATTGGCTCATGAGATGAGGTTAAAGACCCATGAAAATGCTTAGCTTTGGTTATTTAGTGAGGTGAACCTTTATCATGTGTTGCCGAGGAAACGTTCACCTGTGTATGTAGGTGGATGAAAAGGATTATAAAGGAAATGTATAGAGATACATGCAAATCTCACATTTTGACTGTCATGCATCATAATTTCAAGGTTATTAATATTAGGCATCAGGAAATTGGTAAGTTTCATAGGCAAAAGCATAAGAGGCAGGAAGTGCAGGCTGTAAACAGAACCTACAGCCAATATTCAACACTTGGGGAAGAGGTTCACCTTTTAAAAATCTGATCTTTTTAATGTCTCTCTAGAACATATTTCCACCTTTATTTGAGCATATTCAAGTATTTGTTTAAAATGGCACCCACCTCTGACATCAGACTTTCTTTCTCTAGTTGAGTATTTTTTTTATATTCACTCACAGTTCACAGTGCACAGTTCTATTTCCACGTCTCTTTGTAACCCACCCTCTTCCTTCTGCTCCACAGTAAGCTTCTCACCTTGACCGTTAAAGACCTTCCTGAGGATACATTTCAGCCTTCACCTGACTTGCTCACTCTGCAACATTATGGCTTGTGTGTCCCTTTTTGCTTTCCTTGGAATATTTTCTTCCATCACACTAAGGTCTTTAGGCTTTATTTTTCTCTGACTAATCCTTAGTTTCCTTTGCTGGCTCATTACCCAAATTTTGGCTATGGTGTTAGAGCAGTTTCTGTAATATTTCAATATTAATCTTTACATTTCTTGTTATCTTATTTAACTAAGCCTGAAATTTAAAAATGAAAGTGTTTTTATATTAGTGACAAGAAATATAAGACTTATAATAGAACTAAGAGATACAAAAACAAGTTATTTAATAAATGAAAATAAAATCAGGGTTTACTCTTTACTCACCTCTTAAAGATGTCCACCTGCCAAATGTATTCCGCTATGACAGAAAACAGTATTAAAGAATTTATGTGAAATGCTGGGAACTCATCATCAGAGATTAAATCTCAGAATCACGCTCTAATTCTGGAATTGTAACTTTTTCTTGCTACATACAGCTTTTTTTTCATTACAGTACACAATTGAAGTTTTAATTTCTACACTAAAGTAAGGGGATGGTTTCTGACAAGTAAATGAGAAATTAGAGATAGTCTTTTGTTCATACTCCATTCTTCATTGTGTAAAAAAAATCTGGAGACTTGTTAAGGAGGCCTGATTGCAGCTCCACAATTCAAGATTCTGACTTCCCAATATTGAACAAGACCTCAGAAATTTGTCCCCTTAACAATTCCTCTGATAATATGTTTGCTTGTGGTTTGCACAGTGAGTTCACTTTGGTAAATTCCATATTCAGGGGATGATATGAGTCATAGTAAATGGGAGAAGACTAAAGGTAGTGACATAACTTGAACAGATAGCTAGGTTAACAAAAGGGAAAAAAGAATCAAAATTCTTTCGAGAAAGATCTTTTATTTTAGAATCCAGAATTCAGTGTTCTAGATAACACAGCAGGTATTTAAACATGTATTTGTTAAATGAGTGAAGTTTTGAACAGGGCAAAGGTAAATAAGTGATGGAATGGAATCAGAAGTTTCAGATATACATCAGCAACTCTGACAGTGATAAATTTTGCCATATTCCTGGATTTATGGACAAGAAATATTATTAAGCAGCTAATGCCTGCATATAATATAGTCAAAACTGATGAGGCTTTTATGTGTAAATCTTTGATGTATTTTACACTCCATGCCAGACACTAATCGACATTTTTATATACCTGATATCATATTAGTTATGAGAGCAATGATCTAAAGTATTTACTACCAGAAGTAACCTTCTAGCTTTAATAAAGTAGCAAGTATTTTAATTTATATATAATATATTAATCAATTCTTGATCCCAGAGACAGAATACCCAACACTCACGATTTGAAGGAAGACAGGTTTAATTTGGCTCATTTGGTTTTGGGAGGTTCAGTCCATGGCCAGCCAGCTCCAAGGCAAGGACATCATGGAAGAAGGATGTGACAGAACAAAATTGCTCAGGCATAGAAGCAGAGCAGGGAACAGCATTAGAGAAGGAGTGAAGGACCAGATATACTACCCAAGGTCGCATGTGCATTACCCATCCAGACACTCCTGGAAGTCAGCTTACTAGTTCCCCAGGCAGCTCCCAGGCCAATCAAATGGGCACAGCCAAGCTTAACCAACATCTACACTGCTTTTCACATATTTCAATTTTTTTAAATAGAAGAAATTTCTGAAATGTAACAGAAAGGATATAGTAAGTTCCACTCATCAACAGATATTTTTGAGGGTAAATTATAGTCAGTGCTGTAATATCACCGCACAACAAGGGTTGCAGGAAAGGGAGGTCTTGTGTACCTTACTACATTAGGCTAATGGAAAACAAGATGAAGTGTTTTTTAATGAGTGTTTCAGTGCGAGTTATCTACAAATGAATAACTGTACCTCTTCTGCCAACTGTTTCTACAGGCGTTGAAATTCAAAATCTTAGTTAAAAATAAAAAAATAGGAACCTTAAAGGAAACTCGTGAAAGGATAGGCTCTGATAAACACAGTATGGTTGGGGTGTGGGAAGAGGAGGAGCTGGAAGTAGAGGAGGATGAGGAGGAATTGAAAGCTGTGAAGGAAAATGATAGCTCTTCATCAAGAGTCAACCAAGGAAAGGAAGCGGAGACAAGGAAGTTGCCTGCAGCATCACTTTTTTCCAAGAAGAAAAAGGTGAGCTGGAGCCTCATGAATATTTTACAAGTGATCGAAAATTTTCTAATTTTCTTGTTGGTGGACAATTGAAAATATTCTTGAGGGGAGACTCTTTTCCTCCTAAAAACTCAATTCTATCATTTAAAATTCACTTTGAAACAACTGACAGTGGCAAGCAAAATTTTAAAGCTATCTGTTTTCCTGTACCACCTTTCACTGTTTTCCACTATAGTTGGCAATTATTATGATTCCTTATGTACTAAGCATTCTCTGATCTCAAGTAGATGTAGATAAAAGATTAAGGTTTAAAATACGTACAGCTTTGTAAGCATGAGTATTACTGTGTTCTAAAAAGATCACTAGCTTGCACTGTTTAAATAAAATGAGACGTACTTAATTTACCTATCCAGATAAAAAATTTTAGGGAAAGGAATTTATTTGCAATATCATTTGGTTTAGCATCTCAAACAAGGTCAATAGAACATCATTTTTTTCTCCAACTTTGGTCTCATTTACCCAAATCTATTGCAAAATTCTGCTTTATATCCTTTTAAGTTCATACAGAGCAGAATGCTTTTTTCTTAGCAGAGAACAATTTTTTCTGTCGACTAAGATTTATCTATAAAGCCTTTAACCATTACTAATGATGGGGAATGAACAATTCTGATTCATGTGGCCCAGGTAAATACATGGATCTAGCACAAGCAAGAGATATCTCCTCAAAACAAAATTAAAGAAGTATCTAACAGAAATTTAGAGGAAACGGATGCTGGGTACAAACAATATGCTTTTTAAGAGAGAAAAGAGATTCCAACTGATTGGTTTAGAGGGACATATACCAAAATGTTGATTCAAACTGGAAATATATTTAGTCATGACTGAAATTTCTAAATTTTTAAAAATCATGAAAATAAGCTGAGATCTCTGGGGAAAAGAATATAGTAATAATTTTCATCCATAATACTTATTGCATTAATTGAGATTTTAAACTTAAGCCTGCTTATAGTATCATTAAATATTATAGTCATAAAATAGTCACATTGACTTATCCAAGTAGTTTTTGAGGGGTCAGCCTTATGAAAAGTGTAAAAAAATATATTTTAAAGATTGTTTTCTTTATTAGAAGTGACATTTTTCAAATAGTATAAAAATGTGAAATTACTGCCTTTTGTTTTTTAGACCAGGAAGCTAAAAATAGCTCTTGCTTTATCTGATCTTGTCATTTATACTAAATCTGAGAAGTTCAGAAGTTTTCAGTATTCCAAACAATATCAGCAATTTAATGAAAGTAATTCTATTGGGGAGACACAAGCCCGAAAACTTTCCAAATTGAAAGGTAAAATGTTACAATTCAAATAGATGAAGTATTCAAATCAGTTATAGTTATGGCTGAGATGTTAAGATGGGTCAGTGGTATTTATAAAGTATATATCCTCAAAAGACTTCAACATATTAAACATAATTTAGAAAGGAGTGCTAGTTTAATGCCTCAAGTTTAGTTCTGTTTCACAGAATTTAGCCACTGGTTGTCTTCTTTGGGTCATGACAGTTTGGGCTGGGATTGTCCAGGGTGGATACTTTCATCCACGGGGCTGGATTGGGCGATTGGGATGGTAGAGCCACTTGGGGTACCTCAGAGGTAGCTGAGCTGACTTGCAAGACACTGAGTTTTATCTTGGGAGGAAACTTGCACTGGGGAAGATCGCAGTCTTAGAAGCAGTGCGAGAGACTTCAAGCAGGGAGGAAATAAGAAGCTTATGGCATTGAGAATTGAGACAGGAAAGAAATTTGTGGATTCAGTGGGCAACTAAGAGGTAACTTTAGATGTGGAGGTTCTATGCCTGTTAGAGGGAGGGGCAGGAAATGGCACACAGGGTGGACCCCTGGAGTGTGCATTGTCCCTGCCATTTCCAGAGGTCACATTTGTCTGTGTTTCTTCTTTTTTTCTGTTAACTTCTAAGTATGGGGACTTTCTTCTGTTTGATAGCATCAAAGATGGCACAGGCCTGGAAAACAAATGGGAAGCAAACGCATCAGTGTTTTGAGCTCATATGACAGGGAATGTCCTAAACTTTAAAAGGGATTCAAAACTAATTTAATAAGAATTATCCTCAAAAAATTGCAATCATCTACCATTTTATGTGGGAAGACTAGAATAAGAAAATCAGTGCCTACCACTGACTTGAGCAAAGCTATCTGGAAACACAGACTGACGTGTTTGCTGGTAAGCCTTGTTGGATTCTACGCTGGTGTCCAAGGGCTTTGAAGTGCCTTTTTGTTTGTGTTCTTAAGCTGCCTACTAGAAAAACCCTGATGTTTTAAGGGCCTTATAAAAATGTTAAAAACCAAAACAAATGATAACTCTGGATTTGGATTAAAAAATAAACTCAATAAGTTTGGATCACAGTTAAATAATAGGATAAAGTAAAATAGTGTAGAGTAAATGAAATGGAGTGAAATGAAACAGAACAAAATGAAGTGATATTAGAACAGGATAGGATAGGATGGATGAGATGAGATGGGATGGGATGGGATGGGATGGGATAAGATGGGATAGGATAGGATAGGATAGGATAGGAGTACTGTACTGTTTTATAAAGAGTATGCGTATAGGCAAGTGTGTTTGATTGGGATGTAAAATGGAGTTTGTACTCTATATATGTGCAACAGAGTCTGAATAACCTGCTGTATTAGCTAACCTCTGCCCCCTCAAACTATTGGGCATCTTTTGTTGTTTCTGAGGATAAGACCTCTGGACATAACAAAAGGAGCTCTGATTCTCTCAATCTCAGCAGATTAAAAACTTGTAAAAATTTTGGAAAGAGCTTGACAGTACTGAATTAGAGTGATAAAATATAGCACCATTGTCTTTTTTGCAGAGTGTAGCATATTTCTCATAGCACCCAAAGTCATTAATAAATAATTAATGATGTTGGCAGTAGTTGTACTGTGAAGATGCCTAGTATTAATCCAACCATAAAAATATCATTAAAATAAACGTGGCAGATGAATGTTATTGAAATAGAATAATTCTCACATTATTTTAGTAGGTAAAAATTGATAATTTGGAAAAGGGAATAAACAATATGACTCAATTTAAAAAATTATCATATAGATAGAGAAGAAAGAAAAAATACACACCAAGCAATTTTCAATGGTCCTTAATTGAGTGATGAGATTGTATATGGTTCTTTTTCTTCATTTGATTTCCTCATATTCCTAAAATGAACATGGACTGCATTTGTAATAACAAATCATGTTTAATTTAATTTCTAACAATAAGTCTCAGAAGTCACAAAACTGTATTATGTCATGGGACCTTGTAATAATCCTTTTATTACTTTGTGGGTGTGAAACGTTAGGACCAGAATAGTACGTGCTTTGCCTAAGGATAGGTATCAAGCAGGACTAGATGAGGGTGCGTGGTGCACTCATGCTTAGTTATATCTTGAGAAGCATGCAACTCTTAAAACTAAGTGTTGATGAAATTAATAGTAATTTTTAAATGCATGAGGCCTCCTAAAGAATAGTAAACATTGAAGAAGGAAATAATTCTGATCTAGTTCCACTAGCAAATATATTGTGCACAGGAAGCAGAGACAGTGAAGGGACGAGTTGGGAAGGGGAACATCAGACCAGGTCACATTCCTGTTGACCCAGTTCTTCCAAACCAGCCCCACCTTCAAATGAGTGAGCTGGGACGCCCAACAACTCAACCACTTTCCTGAAGCCCTCCCTTTGAACACATGAGGCTGTTGGGGGGCATTTAGATATAAGCCACAACAATATGCTTCAAATCTCAATGAGAGGTTAGTTAGTAGAAGTATAAGAAATATATTTAAAACCTGAGATTAGACATATGTGTTTGGGTAGGTATGTACTGTATATGTACATAGATATTAGTAAAAAGGCATTCAAAATAGGCTTTTAGAGGAAGTGTTTTTGTTGGACATTTGTAAGCAGAAATTTAATGAATTTAAGGGAAGATTCTGGAATGGAGGGGTGAGCTGAAGCAGATAACGTGGGAATCTTAACCCTGTGAATCTGGGAAATGTTCCATCCAGTTAACTTCAATAAAATCTTATAGCTTCATTTGGCTTCTGTGTAATTCAACCTTAATATAAAAATCAAAGTTAAAAAATAAACTAAAGTGAGGGAAATATTAATTTTGTTTCAAGAAAGAAAGCATTTTATTTTGGCATTTTATGTGTGCTTATATTAAATTCAAATTAATTTGGATGTGAAAAAAAGAAATAGGAAAGTGAATTATCAGTGTACATAAATTATATAATAAAATTATTATTAAACAGTAATCCTGAATTACACAGTAAATATAAAGGCATGGGATTAATTTTGATTTTAATGAATTACAAATAATTTTTCCAAAGCAATAATTATCAATATTAATCAAACATAAAATTGTATTATATATAGAAGTAGTAGTTTGGCTTATTTTAAATCTCTCATGTTTTAGTAGTTTTTTTCTCCTTGCCTCCTTTCCTTCCTTTACTTTCTTTCCTTCCTTCTTTTCTTCCTGTTTTTAGTTCAAGAATTTATTTCTCACACAAGGAAGTTCATTACCAGAATATATCCCAAAGCAACGAGAGCAGACTCTTCTAACTTTAATCCTCAAGAATTTTGGAATATAGGCTGTCAAATGGGTATGTTATATAGAATATTGAGTTGTTTGGAAAAATAAGTTAAAATGCATTCATTTTATGAATTAACAAATAAGCTCTCTATAAAGGACTTTTTGGCCTTTGAGGTTTTAGATTCAGGCATTCAATACTGAATCACTCATCTCTAGAGTTGCATTCATTTGTCGATGGCCTGGAGAGGATAAATCCAGGTGGAGTTTAGGGCATAGAAGTTCAGTTCATGAAGTGTTGTGGGGACAAGTGGCCGTCGAAAAGAACAAGGAAACCAAAATGAGCAGAAGACTCTGAGATCAAATTCCTTTGCTTGAAAGTTGAACTACAGGGCTCTTCAAATCAGGTGACCTCTGTCATTTATGGTTTGCATTGACTTCTGGATTCAATCTTGAAACTGGACAGAATCATGTAACTTGGTTATGTTTCCTCACAGGTTGTCTGAATTCCCAATGCACAGCCTGTACAGGACTGGCACTAACTGGCCAGTGTCAGGTGTTAAACATTTCTACTACTGGACTTTAACAACGCCTCTAGGCTTGAGCAGAATGGGGCATGGAACCAGCAGTGGTGGGAGACATTTTGGGGTTGCAGGGTGATATTGTACACAGTGTTATGCTTTAACAATTATAATTCTGTCTCTTACTTTGTCTTCAAATGACAACAGCACCTGCTGGACTTCAAAGTTTGTGATATAATTGGTGCCTTTGTTTCCTGAATTAATGGACTACTTTTTATTTTTATATTTCTTGAATGTTATCTGAAATGTACATTGGTTTCCTGTAATCCATACTGTATGCTGTTTTGATTTCTTTATTCAAATGCATATTGTAATTTAATTTATAGGTTAAACTTTGCAACTGACCAACACACAGTAATATAGACATGGGAAGAGGGAAAAGGTTAAAAATCAGCAGCTATTAGGCTGATGATGCTATTATTACATATAAAAATATATAATCAGTGATTAGATTTCAATGACTTGCTTAACTGTCTTTCTTTAACTGTTACCCTCTTGCCTAACAATATCAAATACTTACTTCTCACAGTGGCCTTAAATTTCCAGACTCCTGGTCTGCCTATGGATTTGCAAAATGGGAAATTTTTGGATAATGGTGCTTCTGGATATATTTTGAAGCCACACTTCCTAAGAGATATTAATTCAAAATTTAACCCAAATACTTCAATAAATGACCACGATCCAATTGCAATTACAATAAGGGTAAGGTTAATGATATCTCCTCCTAGTTTTCCTTGGTTATTATACCAGCTACATAGTATACATTACTCTTTTAAATTCCATTGATTTGCTTTTATGCCTTTGAAATTTCTGTTAGTCTTTTCAGAAATGGAAGGTATTTCCTTATCTTTGCATATCTGAAAAATACCCTTCTGTTATTTTTTATGTGAATGCTTGCCTGCCTGTGAATACAAATTTTGAGGTTCAAGCTCTCCCCTCTCAAGGATCTATTTATATTATCCTACTGGATTTCAGCATTTACCATTGGGAAAGGTCTGTGTTCAGCCCACTAATGGATGTGCTACTTTTTCTCCTTTAATTTTTAAAATTTACAGGAAATTCTAGGAGATACTTTCCTTTCATCAATCTCTAGAAATAGGCATTTGTAGTTCAAATCTTTTTCTCCCTCATATCTATGGACATTATTTGACTATTTAGAAAGGAAAAATATCCCCAAGCATTTTGTTCATATATGTTTACTGTGCTTAGTTTTTATTAGCTTTAGAGCATTCCTCTTCCCTGGGCATTTTGGGGGAGATTTTGGCATTTGTTCCCTGTGTTAGTAATTTAGTCTGTATTCACTTTTATTTTTTAGTAATTTTATAATGTATGTGAATTTTTCTCCTGATTGCCTAATCCTCCTCCCATTGTCATTTACCTAGAAACACGTCCTTTTCATTTCCATCTGAATCCTCTCCAATAACTGTTCTGATACTCCTGTCTTACTCTTCTTTTTTCTCCTTTTTTTATTATAAACTGTATAATTTCATTGAAAGCAAAAGCAGTTGTTCAAAATTTATTGCTTCCATTAGCACAGATTTTTCAAAACCTCCTTCTGATTCTTCCATAGCCTAAGTGCTATATTTACTGTCTAATATGTCACTGAGTCTTTTGAAAATGTCTGGCTTCATTTTCTCCCCATTTAATTGTGAGCTTCTGTAACTGTTTGTGTTATTTGCAAATAAATCAGGTAGCTACAGTCTTTCTGTTTCCTCTTGTATTTAGACAGTTCTTCCTAATACCATGTGACCATCTTGGAACCTGTTCTGGAATTAAGTGCATATAGTCATTGGTTTGTTGTGTCTCATGCCATTCTCTAGGGCAGCTCTGCTGTGATTCGCTGGCTGCTGAGAGGGTACCGATCATCCTCAGCTGGCTGGCAGAGCGAAGGACGCCCAGGGGGTTCTGGAGTGCGCTTCTCCCACCGTGCCCCTCCTACCTCAACTCCACAATCTCAACATTCAAGGGCAAGAGAGACCACTCATCACCTACTTCAGGCCCCAGCTTTTATCAAGCTGGGACATTAGAGATTTGAGAGCTCTTTTCCAGAAATGAACACTGGAAGAGAGTGAAGCAAAGAAGGATGGGATTGAAATGAGGCTGGACCTGGCAACAAACAAACAGTGCCTTTTTTCCTGGCTGTTAATGATTTTTTTTGCCATTAAAATATGATACTTAATAGTGGAGAGATACAAAATGGTATCTCAGTGGGGAAAGGCAAAAGACTGATTTGTTGATTCTTTTTTTAGGACCTGGCAAAGCATTGAACATTGAGATCACTTTATAATGGTCTTATAAGGTTGACATTGTTCCTTTCTATTTTTTAAAACAGTTGATCTAGTTGAAAACAAGACATGAATTGGCTGCCTGTGAGGTCCCTTCTCATTCTGTCCTAATCTCCCTCTGTGCTGCTGGAACTGGCCTGTGCCCGCTCTTCATTTCCTACCCCCAAGTGATTCTGTCTCACTGGCGTTGGTAGGTTCTTCTTTCTTTAGCTGCTCCTAAATTATTTTTGTTAACTAGTGCTTTAACCTAATGTCCCATTCGAACTAAGATATTTTCCTGTGATTCTTTTATACCAACATTCCTAGCTTAGCACCAACAATGGTCAAATCTTTTTTTTTTTTTTTTAATTTTATTTAAGGAGAAAAGAAAAAAAAAAGCAGAGAAAGGGTACAAGTTATACAGATTTGCAAAAAAAAAAATGAACAGTAGGAAATCACTAGTTAATGGATTATATACTGTCACCTTAGAAATAATTGTTCAAGTCACAAAATTAAAGCTTGTAAAGTGGACATTCCATCAATGATACTGCAAACAGTTCTGTTCAATGATCCAATAAATCTCTGTGATATCATATTCTATCTTATACACTTAAATATACATGCAGTTATATAGTTTAGAGCACTTTCTTTTCCTCTCTTTTGTACAATGACTATTACACATTTTGGGTTTCATTGCTCTCATGGTTCTTATTACTTTTTTGGAAGAGAGTAAAACCAAATGTGACATAACAGAACAGAATCGGTCAAGTCAAAAGGGTGGACATAATAGATAATGTGAAAACATAATACAAGGTGATCAACAATGGTTACCATAATGCCTCCCGCTATCTCTAATAGAATTGCCTATACCATTAGTTATAATACAATTGAACAAAACAGTAAAGAACAAAACCCACAAAGCCAAACGATTGGGGACATTGTAGGTCTTCAAAAGTAGATAAAAGTCAACGAGAATGGGCGTTATAATGAATCTCATTATCTTCACAGCTGATGCCTAAATTTTCGAACCTGATACTATCCAGCAAAACAGAATAGGGGAACATCAGTTAAAAACCAGATGGTGAGAGTAATACAGGGCTTTAAATCGAGGTAATGGAAAGTCAAAGTGGGTTACTATAATATATCCTGCTATTTTTTTCCTTCAATTAAAAGGATAAAAATTTTTTAAAAAGTATTAAAAAAGTAAATAATGGAGTGGAGATTAAGATAAAAGAGGGCATAACAACGAAACAGCACAGATCAAAACATAACCATTTAAGCAGAATAGTGTTTCACCACCAGATAATCCTGACCTAAAAGTAGTTACCATATTGTCTCTTTCCTTGAAATCCTTGAGTACAACTTCGTATACTGTAGCATTAAGTATATCAAAACAATGTAAAACCACTTAAGAGAATGACAGCATTACAGAGTATTTAGAATCGACTAACAGAAAATGAATAATGGTTTCTGTATAATCTCCTTGTCTTTAAAAGGTTTTTGCTTATACTATCATACATAATAAAATCCAGTAAGATACAACCTATTTAGACCATTGGAGACAGAAGGACAAAAGCTAGATGAGACTTCAAAACAAGATGATACTAAATCAGTATTACCTATTAAGATGTCATTTTCTCCAAAATAGCTGTTCCTATCATCCAATCTTCTCTGCCTCATTTCTGTTGAGCTCTTATTCTGTCAGTAGCTGTCAGTTTGTCTTCTTCACTTTGTTCTCTGCTCCATTAGTCGTGGCCTCCACTATTTCTGGATTCTTTGTATTTTTCTTTTTTTAGAATATCCTGCAATACTCTCTGTAGAGTTGAATTGGTGGTTGCAAATTCCCCCAGTTCCTCTTTATCCTGGAAGCACCTTGTTTTCCCATCAATTTCCAGGGACAGTTGTGCAGGATATCTCCATCTTGGCTGGAGATTATTATCTTTCAAAGCTTGAATTATTTCCCCCCACGCTCTTCGTGATTTGATGGTTTGTGCAGAGAAATCTGCTGTAATTCTGATGGGTGTTCCCTTGTAAGTGGTCTGTTTCTTGTCTCTGACAGCTTTTAATATTCTGTTCTTGTATTGAATTTCTGGAATTTTTATTATTATATGCCTGGGTGTTGCTCTGTTTGGGTTGTAGGTAGCTGGGGTCCTGTATGCCTCATACATCTGAGTATCTTTACTTTTTGCTAAATTAGGAAAATTCTCCTGGATTATTTCTGTGAGTAGCTTTTGTAGTTCATTTGTTTGTGTCCCTACTTCTTCTTTTATGTTCTTAATCCTTAAGTTATGGATCCTCTTATCATCTTCTTGTCTTTGTATTATTGCTGTTTGTTTCTTTGCTGTTTTTAAGAAGTTTTTCATTTCATTCTCCCATATTACAATTCTGCCCTCCAGTTCAGATAGTCTGTCCTTAGTTTCTTTTAAGCTGTTATGCCAGTCTTCGGTAGACTTCTTAGTTTCTTGGTAGTCCCTTTGAACCTGCTTCACGTATTCTATGCTTTCCCTGTTTTCTCCATCAAACAATTCTCCCCTCTTTTTCTGTTCTTCCATTCCACCATCTGTTTTTTCTTGGGTGGGGCTTAGCATTTCTCTGACTATTTTGCATACTTCTAACTTCAGGTCGTTGATAACTTCATTCCTGAATTGGTCTATGAGGCTCTCTATATGGTGCTTTATGTGTATTGGTGCGGTGTCCGCTATTGCCTGTTTCTCAGAATTGGGGGCCGAGGAGCCTTTCTTGTTGCTGCCTCTTCCCATATTCTCTGTTCCTTATATATGCAAGCTTATATGAGAGGCCCAGCTTCTCTCCCTGTCAGCCACAGCCTGATCGAATTGCGCAGGTTAGGTGTTCCCACTCACCGCTGCACACCAGGCAGCCTACGCGGGGCCCGCCCCTCCCAGCCTCCGTCAGGCCCTGCGAACTGGGTTGGGCCAGCCTACGGGGTCCGCCGGCAGCGTCACACAGGCCAGGCATTTTTCACCAATCCCGCCCGAGAGGGGAATGTGTGGCTGGAGTCCCCACTGCGCCCTGCTCCCGCAGGACTGCTCGGGCCCAGAAAGTCCGCTGGAGTCAAACTGTGGTGGAGTGTCAGTTTCTCTCACTCACCTCGCCACAAGTCAGGACATGCCTCCCTGCCCGTCCTGTTTTCGACTCCGTTCGCAGACTCCCGTTCTTAGAGTTTCCGCGCGTCTCTCTCCTTGCCCAGCCGATGTAGAGGCAGCCAGCCGCCGCACGGCGGAAAACCCAAATCGCGGCTTCCAATGGCGCAGGGTCCAGCCTCAGCAGCGAGACTTTTCTGTTCCTGTTTTAGCACCAGGACTGCATTCCAAGTTGGTTTCTCTCAGCCGAGTTCGTTCCTGAGTCAGCAGAGCATAACTCCACCTGCTTATGTCTCTTTAGTCTGCACCATACCTGGCTTCTGAGCCTAGTTTTTCAGAGAGCCTCCGGTAGTTGCTGTTATCTGTCCGCCATGTTCTCCCGGAAGTCCCCAATGGTCAAATCTTTAATCTGGCTTCATTTTTCATTGTTTGCTTAGCATTCCTCCTATTTAATCACCACTCTGTCAGATTCACAAAGTGAAAATCTGAACATCCTTTCTTAGTCAAATCCACTTCTGTTGTGTTGTTTTTACAAGTCAGTTAATGGCACCCTGCGTCCAATCAGCCCAGAGAAGAAACCTGGTAGTAATTCCGGTCTCATGTGTCCCTCTCACTTCTTATTTCCAATTCATCCTTGAATTCTGCAGATTCTTCTCCCATGTGGCTTCTTTATTCATTGTCTCCGTCTGACCTCCTCTTCTGCTGTCCTGTTTCATAACTTTGCTATCTGTCACTAAACTCTCCCTTTTGGCCTCTCAGCGATTTTCAGGCACCCTGTCTTATTGCTCTTGGTCCTTCCTTCTTAGGCTGACCAGAAGTGTTGATTTTATTGTGTATACCTAGTATGTATTTGCCTTATGCTGATTTTATTGTGTATACCTAGTATGTATTTGCCGTATGCTGATTTTATTGTGTATACCTGGTATGTATTTGCCGTATGCTGATTTTATTGTGTATACCTAGTATGTATTTGCCGTATGCTGATTTTATTGTGTATACCTGGTATGTATTTGCCGTATGCTGATTTTATTGTGTATACCTGGTATGTATTTGCCGTATGCTGATTTTATTGTGTATACCTAGTATGTATTTGCCGTATGCTGATTTTATTGTGTATACCTAGTATGTATTTGCCGTATGCTGATTTTGTTGTGTATACCTAGTATGTATTTCTGCCTGCTCCCTGTCTACATTTCACCACTTCTAGCCTTAATCCCAACCTATATGGCATGAAGATTTTCCCCAGACTTTTGGTTCACCTTCATGGATTCCATCTGCCTTTTCTTCTAATGGAAATTTTCTTCCATATTTCATCTGTTTATTGCAGTCTGACTCATTTTTCAAGACCTAGGAATTTCATATTATTGGAAGTTTATTCCTTAGCTGGGATGGTTGTGCTAGTTTTTGTAGCTTTCCTGTTTTTCCATGACAACCAGCACACAGATTATATCACACTGTATTGTAATCACTTATCACATTACATTGGAATCACCTACTTCCTTGTCATTGGTCCTTATTCTCCACTTATCTGGGGTTCTTTAAGGATAAGAAATGAGTTTTGTTCAATCTTTATTAATAGAGACTAACAAAATACATGCTCTGTACATGTAGATTAATAGAATGAATGATTTCTTTAGAATAGTAGGTCAAGGTGATATAGAGGTGATATAGGTCAAGGTGATATAGTAGGTCAAGGTGAATAGAGATCAAAGGTGTTCCTGCATTAGAAAGGGAATTTGGAAGGTAGCTGCACACAGGTACTTACAAACGCCCCGTGATTTATTCTGGGGAGTCTCACATGGAGGCATAAACGATATGGAGTGAAACAGGTGCGCTAAGTGGTCTTCCCAAGGAGCTGCTGCTGTGTGGCCATGCGGTTCTTTCTCTCTTGACTATTCTAAGGACCTTTGTGATTACTTTACTACTTGCAACAATTTTTAAGTGTTTAATTTGGGAACCAGAGAATCTAATTCCACTATTAGCTTTCTTATGTCCCTGACGAAGGCATTCAGCACTTTTTTGTTTTTCCTCTTTGTCATTTGAAAACTGAGTTTGGTTTAGTCAGTTGTTCTCAAGCTTATAAAACTATGGAACAATTTTCTAAATTTTGAATCTCACGTGTAAGGGATGAAAGGAAAGCTACTCTGATTGGCCACTGGGCTTTCTGTTTGATATTCCTTCCCACACAGTGGTTCTGGCAGAGGGTTTGTAAATTAGAACTGGCAAATTATTTGACAAATATTCTCTAAATTCTCTTTCTGTTCTCATGTTCAGCTTTTTAAAAATTAAAGTTCTTCCTCTCTTCCTTCTGCTTCTTCCTCTTCCTCTTCCTATTCTCCCCTCCCTCTTCTTCTCCTTTTGCTTCTCTTTTTCTTCTTCACCTCTACCTTCATCTTCATCCTCATCTTCTTCCTCTTCCTCCTCCACCTTCTTCTCTTTCCCTTTTTTATTTATTCTCCTTCTCCTCCTCCTCTTCCTCTTCCTCCTCCTCCTCCTCCTTCTTCTTTTCCTTCTTCTTCTTCTTGGCCAGAAAGACATCAAAATTTAACCAAGCTTAACTTATCCTGTTTGGAATGCTCAGTTATATGCAGAATTGATAGTAGCTGGTGTACGCTGATATTTAGGATTAATATACTAAATGTATATAATTAGTTTTCTTTTTAAATATTCTTCTGTCTAACTCTGCTGATTTATTGGTGCTAATTGAATATAAAAGTGAAGGAATAGAGTGGAAGGGAAGAGAAGGAGGAGTAAAAAGAATTAAGGTGTGTTATATACATGTACCAACCTCTCAACGAATGTAGTAATTACGTGTTGCATACATGTGCTAGTAAGTAAAAAAATAAATTTTTACAGTCACTGATTTCTAGCCAGTGTCTGAATTTCAGAAAGGAAAAATTACTTATTGCCAGTTATTCCCTTACTTTTCTGTTCTTTTCTTCTCATTTTCTTCCCTGCCTCTATTTCTACCTTCTCCTCTCCATTTCTCCTTCTCTCTCTTTTCTTTTTACTAAATTTGATTACTATTTTGTGCCCTTTTATATAATCTCCAGAAGTTAAAATTATGTCTCAGTTTCTATAGTTTTAGGCTTATAACTTTCATTTCTTACTCTAAATTAGTATATAGCACACCTTTTATGTGATCACTTTGCTTTTTGTTTTTTGTTTTTTGTTTTCTTTTTCCTTTTTATCGGTATCGGGGGTCGAACTCACGACTGTCTGCTTTCAAGGCAGGCGCTTATGCTGCTGAGCTAAACCCCATCCCCCTCACTTTGCTTTTAAAAGAACAAATTTTTGCTTCAATAATTAGGTTTATTATTTTGATAAACATTCTTTTGATAACTAATCTGTAATAAATATATAATTGATTTTTTCACATTCAGACTATGTGTCATGGTGATAGATGTAGGAATGGATAACGCAAATTTTCATAAACCATTGAAATACAAATGGCATCAAAATATTATGAAAACTATATGGTACATTTTTTATATTTGAGAAGTTATATTCATATTTCTGTCAATATTTTAGTGTACATAATGTAAATATAAAAATAGTGCATGTTATCAGAGTTTATCAGCCTGAATTATAGTAAAAATGACTCTCACAAATGTTTTAAAAATAAAAATATGATAATGAATCATCAATTTTAGATACTGTGGATTTCTTTACAAGCACTTTTCAGTAAAATGAAATGATTTAGACATGTTCTTGACATTTACTTTCTGATGTCTGTAGGTAAAATGTTTAAATTGGTATTATTTTTCAGCTTCCTATTTGTAGGAACTTAAAGAGTCTAATTTTTGGAATATATAGCTTTATTTTGCAATTAAATAGTGATGCATTTTAATGCTCTGCTAAGTTCTTGCACCATCTATATTTGTGCAGCTCATCAGTGGTATCCAGCTGCCTCTTAGTAGCTCCTCATCTAACAAACTAGACACGCTAGTGGTTTTAGAAGTTTTTGGTGTTCCAAATGATTGTACGAAACGGCAGAGTCGTGTAATTAAGAAAAACGGTGAGCTCCTAATATATCTTATAAAACTTTTATTACACTTTCTGTTGGAAAGCTTATAAGTTACATATTAATAGAATCTTTATGCACATTTATTATTCATAAAGCAATAGTTTTGCATTATGTTCAAGACTGACAAAATTACCTGCAGCAAAAACAGTCTGATAATGATGAGATCATCTAGGTATATTTTCAGATTACAGATACAAGTTTATCAGACCTACAAAGTCATTAGTTTTTCCTTTTACCTCCTTTTTAGGTTTTCTCTGATTTTGCATAGAGGCATTTTGACAGCAGCAAATTTACTTAGCTACTAGCCTTTGACTTAAACAAACACTCATGATTGTTCTGACGTGGCATGTTACACATTTCTATCTCATTATTTGAATTATTTTAGATCAAAGGTGTGTGGCTTGACTCAGGCTAAGGATCTCATAGAAGCTTACTAATATTGGATTTTTAGTTTTGTCCTTTTTGCCAAAGAGGAAATGTAAAATCAAAGGAAATGACTTTAGTAAGATTTTCAGCATTCCAGCAGGCTATGAAATTTTATGTAGTACAATATTGGCATTGCCATTTTTCCTGTGAAGCTAAAATCTCTAAGGAAACACAGCAAAAGGTAGGTTTACCTCGTCAGGTACACCTTAGAGGAGACCTTGGAACTGATCCTTGAGTCTGGAAATCCTCTTTGAAAGGATATGGCCAGCTCAGAGTGGACTGCATTTCAGAATCTGGAGATAAGCTCTTGCCTAACTAGCACTGGCCAAAGAGCCAGTGGAAGTCTTATTAGTCTTTTTTTTTTTTTCCTAGATGATAACTTCTAAACATGTTCCCAATCTGCTTCCTTTCACTCTCCCAAATTTTCCTCCAGGAGAGCCTCTAATGCAAAAGACATAGAAAAGGATTTGGAAGGCTGTGTTTGCTTCATTTCATGTTATCCATGGAAAGGAGTATTGGTGATGAATTACTGTCTAATTTGGCACTCTTTGGAATTGAAGTCACATTCATTCCAGTGGCAGTGTCAAGAAATAGTCACTGCTGTGTCAGAAAGCTGAGTCATCTGTTTCCTGTTGTCCTCTATTTGACTTTTCTTAGCAAAATGCAAAGAACCTTAATTTATTCAATGCATCTCGTGCTAATTAATGTGCATTTAGAATTTTGATTATATCCTTGGGTTTTATGGCAGTTTCTCCATAGAAGTTCACTTTGGTTCATCAAAACTGACTTCTTGCTATGTAAAAGTCTTACGCATTAGAAAGCATCAAAAACTTAAGTTTCTATTTACTAAATGTTTTATTATGTATATCTCAATTCATCTCACTATAGGTACTTTATTATTCAGTGTGAGAGATGAGATACAGGTGAGACTATAATGATAAAAGGCACCAGTGTTTAAAGGAACATACAAAGATTGTAGTTGATAGGGCACGTTGGTTGGTGGTTCTTGAAAAATGTATAGAATTTTTGCACAGATTGAGACAGTAGCATTTAAGCAGGAAGAATATTATGGGATTTAAAACAATGCAAACATGTTAAGGGAAAGCCAAGAAGCTCAATGTAGCTGTAATACCAGGTGCTTATGAAAGACTAGTGAAATTCAAAATGAGAAAGACCGTTGTCTTGGGAAAGTTACAGGAAATTTTGGAAGCCATGCCAAACTCTTCAGGACACTATTTCCTTTAGAAAATGGACAAAATTAAGACTTTTAAACAGGGATATAACATTACAGCAGAGCTGTGCTTTTATAGGTTTATTTCTGCAGATAAGGTAGTAAGTACGAGAGGGAAATGAAAAAATGCAAAATAGTCAGGAAATGACTTCAGTGGTTAAAGGATGTAGGAGTCAGGTGGCACAAAAGGCTGTGGTGTTAGAAAAAGAAAAGCAGGTGTGTGTGAGCAACACTGGGCAGAAGTAAGTGTTTATGTAGGTGGATAAGGAAACGCTTAGAAGGCTTAGCTATGAAGACAATGGTAATATAATTAAAGATAAAAGTCTTGGAGGAAAAGGTTCATGTTTGGATAAAGTGTAAAAGTAATTCTTCAGTTGTGGTCATGTCTGGAAAACTATATTCATCACTATCAGATTTCACTCTTATGACCTTCTTCTATAATACATGTGCGAGACAGAGGCAGAAACAAAGATAGTATACAACGATACATAGATAATGAGGAAGGAAGAGAGGCAGAAATGGTGATTTGTAATGAAGTAAATGAGAGGAGGGCAAATCAGTATAAGAATTTCCTCTAGATGTTCTGCAGTATCTATAAAAATTTGATTGTAAATCCGTCTGTGTACCCCGTGGATTTATTTCTCATCTTAGGTTAAAGTAATGTGGTGGTTATTCTAGCATGAGCCAATTAGGTCACTGTTTCCATGGGCATGGGCATCATGGATAGCCATTTGGTAACGTGCCCTTGTAACCAAAGATGCACCATAGAAAACACAGACATTAGTAAAATTACTTGTGAGTTCATTGAGGCTTCGCAAAAGAACAAAAGTTATTGGTATAAGTGTGTAGCATGGCCTTTGTACCTGAAAACCATATATATTATTTCTTTCCAAACTTTTGATTCTTTATTGAATAGAGAGTATATTTAATTATTTAGTTTTTAGTCCAAAAACTATTTCTAGAACTTTTCCTGTAACAAGACCTGGTATTGAAAATGATATTGCTTAACTTCCTCGTCTTAATTTCTTTGTTAAGGGAATGTCCAAGCATATCACATACGTTGCATAATGATTAAACATTTCTGCTCTGAAGTTAGAATTTCTGCTTTGCTGCTTCAGGGCTATGCATTAGGAAGCCTAGGAAACTGTGTAACATCTTTGTCCCTCAGTTTTTTTATCTGTAGATGAGGATAGTAACAATCTTGATGAGGTCATTGTGAGAAACAAAGATTATATAGAACATTGCTTAATCATGATAAACACTTGATATTGTTTATTATTATAGCTTATTCCTCTCATTGAAGGCATTAAAATTTTAAGTGCTCTAAATCACAAGCCATTATTATTACTGTCATGAAAATTTTGAAAAAAGTTGTAGAGCAATCATTGCTTATTTTTTCCCTAGAGATGGTCTATAATTTTTTACCAACTCATTTATATTTCAGCCTTTAGTCCAAGATGGAATGAAACCTTCACATTTATTATACAAGTACCAGAATTGGCTTTGTTGCGTTTTGTTGTTGAAAATTCAGGTTTAATAGCAGGAAATGAATTTCTCGGGCAATATACTTTACCAGTTCTATGCATGGGCAAAGGTAATTTTCTTAAAAGTAAGTTGATCATGTTTTAACATTAAATATAACTTGCCTTTGTCAAAGTCACATTTTGACATACCAAATTCCTCTATCCACAGAAATAAGACATAATTTTATATATCATACTCATTTTCTTTCAGGGTGTTTACAGAAATGTGTTTTCATGTGGAAGATGGGGTGAGGATGTGGGCTTGCTAGAGGCTAATTAGACAACTTTGGCCTGTATAAGTGTTTCTTTACCTGGATCATAGTTATTCTGTTTCAATGAAGAGCAGTCATGATACCAAAAGAAATTAAGGCTCAGGATCAGACCAATAGGAGAAGCAGTGATTATTTTCCTTGCCTGAAGAAAAGAGACCAAAAGTCAGAGATTTGTTTTCCAGCTCTTTCCAGGGCTGCTGTCAAGTTGCAGAGTCCTCTTTCTTGGTGGTTTATACTGTGCCCTCCATATGCTTCCTTTTCCAGCACCATCTGAGGTTTGCCTAGAAATCAGGCTTTTCTTGAGGCAAGAGGGTGGTGGTTAGTTTTGGAGGATGCTGTACTCAGAGGGAGGTGAAGCATGAACTGTGTGCTCAGGGTTGGGACACTGAACACTGGACGTCAGAATAAAAATTGCAAATGTTTAATTTTTTGTGGAAAGTTAATAGCCAGAATGAAAATATAACCATAGAGTCTTGTTTTTATGTAAGCTCAGCAAAACTGCCTCTTTCTCAGTAGCACTGTTGTGGCCATTACTGGTTAATTTGCTTTGATTGTTTTAACAAGAATTATTGCTTTTGCAGGTTACCGTCGAGTTCCTCTGTTCTCTAGAACAGGGGAGAGTCTTGAGCCTGCTTCACTGTTTCTGTATGTTTGGTATGTCAAATAGCAACTGACTGGACCTGACATGTTGTTAGCTATACATCACAATAAAGTGGCTGGAACGAACGTCTGCATCTTTCCTTATTTTAAGCAAAAAAAAAAAAAAAAATAAAAAAAAAATAAAAAAAAAATTACAGAAACATCGAGCTCATTTGCTTTTAAATATGTAGAATAGTGCAATGCAGTAAAGGAAGCAGAAACTTTAGGGAGTCCTGACTCAGCGTGACACTGATTTCTTCTCCCCTCCTGCTACCAATCCTGCTTTCACAACTTGCTTGCATCATTTTTAATTAGTGGAATTTACAAGCTTTTAAAATATGTCTGGTGGTATAAGATATGTTGGCAAATATATAGCAGGAGATAATCTCAGAGTGTGTTAGCTTCATGATACTACTGCATGTTTTAGTGGGAAGGAATTAGTTTGCTGGGCCCCTTGTGTTCTTTTACATCCTAGAGAGTAATTAGCCCTTGAATTTTCATGCTTGTTCTTAGCTGCTGTGCACTGGATTTGGTGCCCTGCAATTATACAGACATTTCTATAAGTGCATATGAAATTGATTTGCATTTCAGCTACATTCAGACTCACTAGCTGAAAAAGAAAGCTACTATGCAGACTTATATGCTCAAATCTTGAATTACTTTGCAATATTTCAGAATCCGCACTAAATGTGCTTTCAAGATTGTCTCGGTCAGAGAGGAGATTCTCTGTGCTATTTTATATTTAGGACTTCTCACAATCACTAGGGCTTTGATTTTCTAATTGCTGTATAGAACATGGGTCCCTATGAACTGTTCTTCAAAATACAGGATAGTAATACTTAGCTGCTGAATAGTTGCTGGGTGGTGGTTTGAAGGCACACAGGACACAATCAGACCAACAGTTTTCCCCCTAATAGGTATTTCTCAAAATTGAATCAAAAATTTTAACTAAAAGCTATAAAAACAAAACCCTGCTTGAGATATCTATTAATGAATACTGTCTCTTGATTGTTAGGTCTGAGAGAAGGGGGAGGAGAGGAGAAGTCCGTGGGAGGAATGGAGCGGAGTGGACTGCCGTGAAAGTAGTGGGCAGGGGTGACTTTATTCCGGGAATGCGGGGAGGGGGCCCCCTGCCTCTGCCGGCCCGGGGCGCAGCATCTCTGCACCCGGGGCCGGTGGTGTCTCCGGGAACACGGGGAGTGGAGACTGGCGCGCTGGCCGGCCCTGGCCGCTGGAATCCGGAGGTCTCTCTCTCTCTGGCGAACTCTCTCTCGGACACGTGGCGTGGGGGAATCTAAATAGCCTAAGCTTAGGGCAGCACCCTAAGGCCATTAGAGATGCACAGGTATCTCATTGGCGCACAGATTCTTAAGGATGGGGATATAGGGTTACAATCAAGTCCATAGGGGGCAGCGGGGGAGGAGTTTAGCTGCAGCCTTTTCTGGTTAGTGTTCCATCTGGGCCAACAACTCTTTCATTGATGACCAGAAAACCCGAAATAATCCATCTATCATGTTTTATTATTATTAGCATAGTATACCCTCAGATATGGGGAAAGAAGGGAGAGAACAGAGTGAAAATTATCTAGATAATATGCATATATATATGTATATACACACACACACACACACACACACACATATCCTCCAAGATAAAATAAATGTAACTACTATGCATTTTGAACATATTCTAATAAAAAGGCAAAAAATAATGAAATTAGTGAAGAATCCAAAGTAGTTATGTTTATGTGGATTATATTTCTAAATATATGCTATATTAAAAATTAAAAATATTTACAAGCTTTTTAATCCATTTAGAATACTTATAGCTAATAACATGCAAATAGAAATCCTTTTTTAAAGAGAAAAATGTATTTCTCCAAACCAAATGATATAATGAAAATATCTATCTATCATCTATCTACCATCTATTGTCTATCTATCTATCTATCTATCTATCTCTATCCATCCATCTATTATCTATCTATCTATCTATCTATCTATCTATCTATCTATCTATCACTGGGAATTCAAATTCCCAAGCCATAAGCACTAAGAAATATTGTCATGGTATGACCCTCTACAGTCTCTCTAAAGGATGTCTGCATTTAATTTTTGTGAAAAATTAATGTTCCATAGAGTACATTCTTTGCCACAGGAACAAAGAGTCAGGTTTTGGAGGGCTTCTGTTCTGTGACAATTGATGGATTTATTTAAAACATCTATTGTTCAGTCTGAGACCAGGTACAATGCTCAACTTCTTTGTTCCAGACTCTAACCTTCTGCAGTCTCTTCAGGCCATTGGAAGATGTGGAATTCCATGAAATTCTGGGACCTTTCTTAAGCACATTTTTCAAGAGAATTCATTAATTAGGCAGTGGGATAATTTTTCTATTTCTCATTTGTACCATCATATTTTGAAATAAGGGAGAAAAAGGGGGATTATTTTCCTTCTTCATCTTTTCTTAAGGTAGTAATCAACTCATTTCACTCACTTTTTGAAAGGCACCTATTTTGCTTTTTAATGTCTTTCTCTACATCACAAAAAGAATTTTGAGAGAAATATTTTCTTTCCTGTTTGACAACAGTCTTGTCATATAAACCTTTTTCATTTCATTTTAAAACTCACTTTATCATTTATTTCACTATTTAACTTGAACTGGTATGATTTTATTGCAAGCACTTTGAATAGATAATATCTAGAGAAAGTGCAGAGCTGCATTTAGAGCAAGCTGCGAGTGGTCTGAAAAGTTAGCTTTGACGCTTGCATTCTAAGCGTAGTTAATTTGTAGAAAATTAAGTGTTGTGAATGGAAGAAAATAGAAGTAAAGGCTAAATGAACTCCGGGGACTGTGACAACTGAAGACCTTTCAAATGTTAAACTTGGTTTAAATGTCAGTTCCTCAGGGGAGCCATCCATGTTCTCCCAGATTAAGTTATGTTCCTTGGTTTATGCTTCCTTGCAACTGATAAAAGTGACCCTGGAAACAGACTGCACTATAAGCTCACCCTCCGCATTGTCAGGAGTGGGCACAGAACTCACCATCAGGTCTTGGTGATTCCTCAGTGGAGCCCCCTTTTTCTATGATGGAACAAGAAAAATAAAATGACTACTTTGTTTTCGTGACTCAATATGTGCCAAAGGGATGAATAGTCTCAACACTTGAAAATGCCAAACAATCTTTTATCCTGACTCGCATGAATTGATTAATTATTAATTATAGTTTTCATTTGTCTGTTTAGATAAGACTTATTCCAACCACAAAACTGCCTCCCTCATTCTTGACAACATATAGTGCAGATGAGAGCTGTGGTTTTTGACCAAATCATCCAACACTAGTCCAAATCCTGGAGTGAGCTCTTTCTAACACCCTCCCACTGAGACATCCACAGCTCTCTCCTCTGTGTATCTCCCTCATCAGAATGAGCAAGGAACTTCTCTCCGACTGCTCCTGCTGGTCTGTAACGTCTCCTTTTGTTATCCTGTGTAGATCAGTATGACAGGAATGTTTAATTATGCCAATTTTGTACTGTTCTTTTTTCTTGTTGTGGTTGTTTAGAACCTCAAACAGGAACAGGTACCTGCAGGGCACAGGCTCTCCACCTAGAGTCTCTGACTTTTGTTTGGGAAATGTGGCCCCTGGAGATTGATAAAATAGTTGTTGAAAGGTGAGGGTGCTCTATTTCTGAAAGAGGGGTGAGAAAGCTTCAGTGTAGCCATGAAAGAAGACTTTGTGTGAAATTTGGAAGAGTGGAGGGGTTTTCTGAAGGATGTGAAACATACACCCCAGGTCAGAGTTGCTGCTAGCCAGAACCTTTGTGGAAATCTTTTTTTATTAAGGAGAAACAGAAAAAAAAATAGGGTACAAATTATACAGGATTTCAGAAAAAATAAGCAATAGTAAATCACTAGTTAATAGATTACATATTATCTTAGAAATAGTTGTTCACGTTACAAAATTAAAGCATATAAAGTGGACTTTCAAACAGTGAGACTGCAAACAGTTTTGTTCAATGATCCAACAAAACTCAGTAATATGTTATCTTATACACTAAAATATATATGCAGTTATATTCTTTAGAGCACTTTCTTTTCCTTTCTTTTGTACAATGACAATTACACATTTTGAGTTTTATTACTCCCCTTTGTGGAAATCTTAAGGTAGATTTGGAAGCCAGACTGGGAAAAAGCTTGAAGTGTTAGTACCCAGACAATGGAATTGTTTGTTTTTTCTGGGAAACCTTTATGACTTTGAAAAATGGATGTTTTATTGGAAGACTATATGAACTGGCTTCCCATTGTTCAAGAGTTCTTAAGTTCCCCTATTTTCTTGGTGGTGCAAGAGCATTATGAATTGCATTACTTCTGAAATAATAACTTTCTGGAGATGTGTACAAACAAGGACTCCTTTGATGTGTTCTGGATTCTTAGGTCATAAAATGTGAGTTCTTTGTGGAATTCAATTAAGCTACTTTTATCAGCCACTGGGAATTTTCATTTCTAACATTAAAGAGATGGACTAAAGAGAAATTTAATTGCATGAAGAGATTGATCTTCTGTGTACCTGTATGTTTACATCTCAGTCTAGCACACGGAGAAATGTTAGTAGTAAGTGCCTTAGCTACCTATCATTTTCAGGGATCCATCCTCTCTACTTTCCATATGTGTACAATTTAACTCACATTCAGTATTTCCTGGTTTTTTCCCATTGCAGTCAGTTTTCTAATGTGATAATCACAGTATGTGCAGTGGTACCAAGGCCAAGTGTGTGCTTACTATTAAATATAAATTAACCATAGTCTTTTTAACAATCGTACTCTGTATACAGTGTTAAAGAAATAGGGCCAGAAACACTGAGTTCCCATGGTCTACAATAAATGACAGAATCAGGGTTATTAATCCAAGAGAAGCAGGGCTATTTATCTAGGAAGATTTGGAAAAAATAAATTCAGTCCCTTATCTCACACAATACAGAAAAATGAACTCAAAGTGGATCATAAATTTATATGTAGAACCTAAAACTATGAA